TGGAGGATTGGAGACACGTAACATATCATGTGCTAATTAAGACGAGTACTTCGTACAACTATACAAGTAAATGAAGTGAGTACTATTTCGTCTATTTGTGCTTTAACATAACTGTAATTTATTGATTTCGGGCAGTATTCACCTTTTTTTTTCTTATTATTATTATTTTTTATAATTATAATTACTTTTACAGTAATTTTTTCTATGAACTAACATACATAGGAAACCAATATCATTATGTAAGATTTGCTAATAAACTGATTTCTTACAAGTTTAGACCCTGTTCACATTTACTGAACTGATTAGGGTTGAACTGAACTGATTAGAGTTGAATTGAACTTAATTGAACTGATTGGAGCTGAGCTGAATTGAACTGAAATGAGCTGAAATGAATATTTTATAAGAGAGGGAAATTAAGAGCTGAGTTGAACTGATTGGAGCTGAACTGATTAGAGCTAAACTGAATTGAACTGAACTGAAATTAAGTAAATGTGAATAGGCCCTTAATCACACTGCATTTTTAATAAATTGGTCTTTTTATTTTTATTTTAAAGTTTAATAAATAATCGATCGATAATGGTCAAAGTCATGTGTTGACAAATATAGATTCAAACTAGTGCGATTATTTTGAAATGAATGATGTATACAAGTAATACAAAACTAGTGTGTGACCCCGGGCTTTGCCCCGTGTAACACTTTGAATATTTTCATTTTTATTTTAGACACTTTAAAAGACATGTTAATTTTTTTATTATGGGTATTTTATTTTATTTTTTTAATTTTTTTGAAACGATATTATGAGTATATTCTAATAAATAAAACTAATTTTGTTTTTTTTTTGTGTGTGTGTTTATTCTATATTATAATACCTGTATGTATTTATGTATAAATTTGGATTAAAAGATCAAGAATGAATGTGAGTGTTTTTTTTAAATAATTATATACACTTTTGTATATTTCTTTTTCATATATATAATAAGTGTGATAATTGGCTTAGATGGTTGTAAAGTCAATTTTGTTATGAGTGGTTTGGGGTTCGAATCTCCAAGTCTTCATATATTTTAATGAGTCTACGTGGCACATGGACGTTTTTATAAGCGTCTTTTAATATATTAGTATAGATATGTGTATAACACTATGAGTACATAATGTTTGTTAAAATGCCACATATACTTAGGTACATCTTATCTATATGGTTGTTGTAGGGAATAATTTCAAGCCTTTAAAAATCTCACTAGCTTGAACCCCACTGTGATCATACACTAAAGTACGGTGGCGTCCAAAAGGGAAGAAGATAGAGCAAAAGAGTCGCCAACAAGTTTTTAAGGAACTTGTAAACCGTTCATAGGATGAAGGTTACACCCCTTAACGATCCAAGAGATCGTCAACTCCATAAGGTCATGAACCAAATAAGGGTTCGGGGATGATGGTACAAATCCAACCTAAAAGAGATTGAACCTGCCCTAATAATAGGCCTCTACTTTATTCTGCTCGTATTCATGTGCGCTTTCTTACTAACATACAATCAATAGGATTAACCCTAAACCTGTTTAATCTATGTTGGTTGAATTTAATGCACAAGTAAACTATTATTGGCGATCACTTGAATTTATAATCATAATTAACCCTAAACAAGATTATTAATATCTTATTAAGTGTGGTTGCAAATACCAATTCCCTTTAACATGCAATAAAAGGTGATTAAGCAATAACAATAATAATATGCATATCAAGCAACATAATAATAATCAATCATAATCATAATCATAAATATTAGGAAGAACATAGGAAGCATCATACTTTTAATCATACTTAATATTAAAGATACCCTAGACATGATACTAGGAATCATAAATAACAATCTAAGCATGATATCTACATCATGAAATCAATTAAACCATTAAAGTACTTACTTGGATGTCTCGTACCTCTTTCTAATTACAAAATACACGCGTTAGTAGCTTCAAGGAAAAATAATAATCAAAACAATTAAATTAAATAATTGAAATAAAGATTTGGGACCAAACCCTCAGAAATTAAAACCTTTCACGTCTAGGGCGAAGACAACTTCGAATATGGCTAGGTGTTTCAAGATCTTGTGAATGCGGAATTTTGTGTGAAAACAGTAAAGTTTAGAACATAATGCTAAAAGATTAATGTTATTGAAAATTGATGAATGAATGATGTAGATGAATGAAGAGAGTTAATGAATGAAGAGAGTTGATGAATAATTTTGTGAATGAAGAGAGTTGATTATTGGTAATTCATAAAGTGATTGTTGATGAATGAAACCGGAGTTTTTGATACGATATTTATAGAGAAAATCATCCAAAAAAGATAATTTATCAAAACAGAGTCTGAAGACCACAAAACTAACTAGGCGCCAGCCCTGGCTCATTGGCGCCAGGACCAGTGGCTAGCGCCAGGCGCTAATGGCTGGCGTCTGGCGCCAATCCTGATTCCAGGCGCCAAGGCCTGGGGTTGGACGCCAAATTGGATTTCAACGCGTTTTCGAAAATCTGATAAATTTCCCGTATTGGAAGATAAAATAATATAATTTCAGTCGAAAATGCTATTTGATCTTGATTAAAACTCTATAGAATCCTAATTGAATTAAGAATGATAAGACCTTCTAGAATGTTCTAGAAGACCAAAACCATTCCTAATTACATTAGGAATGATAAATCATATTAGGCCCTCCCCTAGATCATTGGGCCGTACTTAAAACTCAAACCGGACCCAGTTTAGTAAATTGGCCATAAATTCCTCAATATTCATCGGAATTGGGCTTATAATATATCGTTGGAAAGGTCTTTGCAAGCCCCATCCAACTACACCACTATTGGACCCATATCATTGACCAACCAAACTGGATTGACTGTTTTCTTAAAATAAAGTTTTCAAAAACAGAAAAAAGAGAAAAGAAAAGAAATAAAACTTTCCGCAACACTAGACCTTTCCACACTTTCGTTTCATTCGATTATGATTCAACGTGAAAGACACTCATCACTGGGTTTGGTTTTGGGGAGACACAAATGGGTGTCTACAGTTGTATATTCGTGAAATCCTTCTAGTATACCATACGAATGTGATTATATCATACGAAATGTGATTATATTACTACAAAAGTGATTATATCATTTTGAAACTGTTATGTAAATGTATCACTCAAAAAGTAAATTTATCATTATAAAAAGTATGAAATGGTAAATTACATCATTCAAAAGATGATTTTTAAATTTTATCATCCTAAAGATAATTATATAATCTCATTAAATGGTTTAATATGAGATTATAAAATTCAAAATATGACTCACAAAAAGATAATTATATTGTCTAAAAAAGTGATTATATCATCCAGAATGTGATTATATTATTTGAAAGTGTCAAATTTTGGGTCTACAATAATTTATTGTAGACCGGGTCCATACAAGACTAATTGTCGCCAAGCAATGCCCTTTGCATCACAAATTGATAACCATGCCAATCACAAGTTGATATTTATTTGGATTTTCCCCCCTCAAAAATCTAAATTCCTAATTTGTTTTGAAATTAATTCATCCACCCCATATTAGTTTGGAAATCTTATAAATGCACAAAGAATAATAGTGATCCAAACAACAAAAGTTTAAAAAATGAGACGATTTATAGGAGTTCATAGGACATATACTTGAAAAGGAATTGATGGTCAATGTATTATGAACGAGATAAATAAAAAAAAAGAAAAAGTATGCAAACAATTACTCTGTATTTTGTAACTTCGTCTTATAAAATGGTATCATGTATATTTAATCAACAGATCGGTAGATTGGATTGCAAATGTTAGACACCATAAATTGGACTTTTCTTTTTGCTCCTCCTTGGCTTTGTACTCCATTCTCTCCTCATATGCTTTAGAATTGCCCTCGTGAGGAGGGGGTCCTACTTCTTTCCTTTTTTTCTTACCTTAATAAAAATAATAATAAAAAACAACTGATCATATGCATCTAAGCTATAAGACATCAAGTATTATTTTTTCACCAACAAGAGTTGGCTCAAGTGGTAAACAACTTCATGTTGCTTAAGGGAGGTCTTGAGTTCGAGCCTCACCGTATGCAGAAACTCTTGTTGGGAGACTCGCCCACCATAAGCCAGGTGTGCTACCGAGTCAGATCCAGATGTAGTAGTCAAACTAAGCTCCGATGAACCGGATGGGCAACCTTTTAAAAAAAAAGTATAATTTTTCCTTGACCAAATGCTTCTCTCCACACCATACAAAAATATGTATCATCCTATTCATTCATTTCACAATCATAAAAAAGTTCACTAAATATCTTTCTTCTCATAATAAATCAATTTAAAACAATAATTGATTGACATTTGATCAATTCTTCGGGTTAATACATTTTTAGTGTTTCACTCTTTCAAATTATTGCCAATAATTCAAATAATATATATTTTTTCAACATCAAATTGAACATTCTTTTCACTTTTTCATTATATTATTGTATTTCTCTTTGACTAATAATAATTTCTCCCCATTTTGCAAAACCATTTTTTAATTAAAATTAGTCAAATTAAAACATCTCTCCTCATAGCTACTCAGTTTTAAATAAAATTGTATTAATTTAATAATTCTCACAATAGTCTCCTCTACAAATTTAAGGTATCCCCTCACACCTTGAATACAACTATACAAAGACAAAAAAAAAAAAAAATCCTAATTCATCTTATTACATCCGAGTGTAGAATCGAAATTCCAATATTACCTCGTTGCGATATTTATTTTGTACTAACCCACAACAGCAACAAGACCAAAAGACGAAGCCAAAGCATTATGCTAAAAGCCGAGCCACGGCAAACAGCATAATACCATCCCTCCCTTTCGTCTCCGCTCCACCTTCCAACCATACCGCCACGTGTCAACTAAAACAAATTGGTCCCACACCAAGTGGGTCCTACCTCAACACTACCTTCCAATCACAGTTCATCTACCCTTCTTTTTTCTAATTTTCTCTCTCTACAAATTACTCTTTCTCTTTCCTTTTTCTCTCTCCTCTTTTTCTCTCTCCAAAATCGCCGTCAAATTCGGGAGAATCAGAATTTTACCAGAGTACCAAAATCGGGAGAATTTAATTCCAAAAAATTATCATAATAATCATAATTTTCTTACATAAAAAAATTTAATTCAAATTTCTTTGACCATATCCTTTTAATCTAAGATCATCATCATCATTGTCAATTTGTCATAGTTTTTGGTATAATTTTGGAAAAATTATCGTTTGGAATTCTGAAAATTTCAGCTCCCTTAAATTTTGGAATCTTTCAATTTCTTCTCAGCTTTCTCTCTCTTCCTTAAATTAGCAATTTAGCACCGACAATTCAGGTCACTTGAAATTTCTCCCCCTTTTTCTGTGATCTGGATTTTTGAGCTTTTTTGAGGTATAGGGTTTTTGAATTCTTTTGCTTTTTCGGCTTTGATTTTTATTTATTTTTTTTTATTTTTTTTTTGTTTGAATTAGTTAGGGTTTGGGGGATTGACGATTTTAGAGTTTTTTTTTCTTCTTCGAAATGCAGGCTCCGGTGATGCAAAATTGCTCGGAAAAAAATTGATCGGAAATTTCTGAGAAATGTCGGGACCTCTTGATCGATTTGCTCGCCCTTGTGAGTTTTTCTAATTCTTCATTTTCTTATATATTTTAATTGGATTTTTCAAAATTTTATTTTGTAAAAATTTGTATTTTGGGTTTAATTATCTTTAGCTTAAATTTTAGGGTTTTCTTTTTGTTCCGTAATTTCTTTCAAATTGAGTTTCTAGCTAATATATTATTAACTTAGTTTAGGGGCTTTCTCCAAATCAGTAATCCAAGGATTTCCTTTAATTTTTTTTTAATATAAAAAACTATATACATGGATAATGTGAATTTGTAGATAATTTGGGGATTTTTTTTGGAATTATTAATTATTTTATTAATTATTTTCCTGTAAATTTTTGGTGGTAGTGGTTGGGGAAGAAGGGGTAGCTGGTAAAGACGCGTCACATACTCACATTGTTGTAACAATGCCAATGACAGACACTATGAACTATGAGGAGAAATGTATGTTCAATTGCTGAGTTAGATTTTAGGTTAGCAGTTGATTAAAATAAACCGAAGCCGTGAAGTTTGATGTAGATGACTTGGGTCTTGTAAGCTGGGTTACATCCTTGTACCCTGTCGAAATTTTTGCTGGGAAGTTATGTTGTTGAGTTTAACAGGTGGCTTGGGATTTGATAGCATTTGTTTTTACTGTAGCCGGACAGTAATTTTGATGTTGTGGTATAATAATGAGGTGAAGAAGGCAGAACCCGGGAGTTGTCGAATTAGTTATGGGAAGCCTGATGAGTGATAGGGTGAAACCTTGAAGGACTTGCTAAGGATTTCTCCCCACGCCTTTGTTTTTGTACTCCTTACCTTATCCCTTGGTCTTATGGAGCTTTTTAGCTTTTACAAGGGCAGTGATTAAAGCGTCTCTTGATTATTGTTAAAATTTCTTTGTCTTGCTTTATATGTTATTGATTTTTGGATAGGAGAAGGTGTGAAACCTTTCTCTTGTAGCTTGTTTAGATAGTAATCTAGAAGGGAATGGGAGGAAAGGGTAAGGACGTGGAACTCTCATCTGGATTACGAAGATGTTGAGGGGAGAGTAGATATGAATCATTTGATTTGCTTTTAATTTAGCTCAATGCTAAATACTTAAGTTGTCAACAGAAAGCTAGATTTAATCATCCATCAAATATAAGTTTGCCTAACAGAACTAGAATACAAATATTATTGGGGATTGGGGGGTGCGTCCTCCCAGAAGTAATAAATATGGAATAGTAAAAAAAAAAGAATAATGGGAGCTCTACAACAGTTAGATCACATGTTTCAGCTTCAAGGCAGAACTTTGGATTAAAAGTTGTATTGTGATACATTAAATTAGGAAATGATCAGCAAGCAAGTCAGTCATGTATAGTTTCAAGGTTCAATGCCAGCAATTTTTTCATAATACAAGCTTTGGGCTCTTATTATTAACAAACAGGGAATTATCTCCATTTCCCTCACCCCATTATTTGTTATAAATAAGCAAAATATGCCCTCAATTTTCTATTTTGCTTGTCTTCTCTCAAATGTTTGAACTCTTCCCATAGATTGTGATTTATATGCACAATATGTTATATCAAGATGATTTATTGTAAAAAACATGTTAGCATTCTGAGATGTCATGACTATGCATGTTAAGCTGTTAGGTATTTGGCCAAGTGCATTCGTTTGCTTTGTTGATTATTTGCATTACTCTTATACCTCTCCCTTGACTTTATTTAATTTATTGCAGGTTTTGAGGGAATCTCTGGAAGTGATGAGAGAAGGGAAAGAAAATCTGATTTTGAGAATTCAGAGGATGAGAGGAGGTCAAGAAATTGGTCCTTGAAGAAGAAAGCAATAAACGCATCAACCAAATTAAAACATTCCCTTAAGAAAAAGAGCAGCAGAAGAAAAAGTGATGGACGTGTCAGCTCAGTTTCTATAGAAGATATCCGTGATGTAGAAGAGTTGCGGGCTGTTGATGCATTTCGACAAGCGTTGGTATTGGAAGAACTTTTACCTGATAAACATGATGATTATCATATGATGTTGAGGTGAGCTATCTGTTTTATGTTTTCTTGATCGTCATTTTGCATGTCAACTTTGCAGAGGTAAAAATATGTTTATCTTTCTGTGCAGGTTCCTTAAAGCAAGGAAATTTGACATTGAAAAAGCAAAAAGCATGTGGGCTGATATGATCCAGTGGAGGAAAGAGTTTGGTGTTGATAATATTGTGCAGGTAATAACTATTGGCTATCATTGATGATTATTTTATACACAAACCCATTATTCTTTTTGATGATATATTGAGTGTAAGCATGCCATTTTTGCTCACCCTATTATAAATTTCTGATTATTTCAGTTCTGTTTGACAATTTTATCTGATGTTTCCAGGAATTTGAGTTTAAAGAGATAGATGAAGTCTTGAATTATTATCCCCATGGCTATCATGGTGTGGACAAAGAAGGAAGACCTATTTACATTGAAAGATTAGGAAAAGTTGATCCAAACAAACTTATGCAAGTAACTACGATGGATCGTTACATAAAATATCATGTCCGTGAATTTGAGAAAGCCTTCTCAATTAAGTTCCCCGCATGCACCATTGCTGCAAAACGACACATAGATTCAAGCACTACAATCTTAGATGTTCAGGGCGTGGTATGTTGTCTGCATTTACATGCTTATTCTTTGAATGTTACAAATTGTATATGTGTGTCTAAGCTATTCATGTTTTTGTTTAAATGAATTCAGGGTTTAAAAAATTTCACAAAGTCTGCTAGGGAACTTGTAACACGTCTGCAGAAGATTGATGGTGACAATTATCCTGAGGTTTGTTCCATTGTTTTTTCGAGGGGAAGAATGTATATACTAGATTAAAAATTTAGAAGTGACCATAACTGTAGTGGTTTACTTTTGCAGACCCTTTACCAGATGTTCATTGTCAATGCTGGTCCAGGATTTAGGCTTCTGTGGAGTACTGTGAAGTCTTTCATAGATCCGAAAACTACCTCAAAGATTCATGTATGAATAAACAGATTCTTTTTAGCTACTTATATCGATATGTTCTTTGGGTAGGAGGCTCTATTGGTTGGTTTGATGACCTTTTGTTTTCATAGGTTCTTGGCACCAAATTCCAGAGCAAATTACTTGAAGTAATTGATGCCAGGTAATGTAGTCTTATCTTGAAGCATATTTTTAATTGAATAATATAGTCCTTTTGTCGCTGCATATGATATGTTATTTGGCTGTGATTTTCTCATCACTTTACTATCATATGCAGTGAGTTACCAGATTTTCTTGGAGGCACTTGCACTTGTGCTGAGCAAGGGGGATGTATGCTCTCTGACAAGGGACCTTGGAGAACTCCTGAGATATTAAAGGTGTGTTTTTATATGCTCCTTTTCTGTGTCTGTTTTTGCTGAGATGACAACAGTTAAAAAAAAAAGATTGCAGTTGAATTCATTTAGAAGTTGCATTCATTTATTTTCTTTAGAAATAATCATGGCATGCAATTTCGCTCTGCTGCAGATGGTTCTTAATGGGGAGCCACGGCGTGCAAGGCAAGTTGTTAAAGTGTTGAGCAGTGATGGAAAGGTTCTTGCTTATGCTAAACCTCAGTTTCCAATGGTATGGCTGTTTATGTCTTAAAATGAATAAAATTTCCAATTTTTGATCTTTTGATTTCAATATATGACTTACTTTTAAACAGTTAAAAGGAAGTGATACATCTACTGCTGAGTCGGGATCTGAAGCTGAAGATATTGCTTCGCCTAAGGCAGCAATGAATTATTCGCATCTGAGGTTGACTCCTGTTCGTGAAGAGGTAAACTTCATACAAATTCTAATCTTTGTTATAGTCTAAATTGTACTTTTAGTATCAGATGAAGTCACTTTTTATACTTTGTTATGAACTTGTTAAATTTATTTTATAAAATATCCTTTTCTTTTGCTGTTGTGACCATAGGTCAAGGTCACTGGAAAGACAGCCTACGCTGGTAGTTATTCGGGCTATGATGAATATGTACCCATGGTGGACAAGCCCGTTGATGCTGGCTGGAAGAAGCAATCATCCATTCAGAGACCTTTTTCTTCTAAAGGTCAGCACGTTTGCTCAAGATAGCAGTTATATTTTATCTATGTAACGTTTATCACTAGACCTGTCAATTCGGGTCAAATTTTGGGTTGTTTGGGTCATTTAGTTCAAGTGGTTTGGATTGCTTGGATCATTACAAATTATTATAAATGGGTCAAATCGGGTAAATTTTGGGTCATTTGGGTCGGGTCGGGTTTTCTCTCAGTAAAACGGGTTTGGAATCGGGTTGGGTTGGGTCAAGAATTGACAGGTCTATATTATCATTGTGTGTGAATTTTCCTATAACACTATGATGTGTAGATTGAATTTCTGCTTTGAGGTTCATATTGGCCATACTATGTTGGTGTCCATACTATATTCATTGTTTTTAATCAGCTGCCTCTTTTTATGCATTACCATCATGATATCCACATAATGTCCCCTGCCACAGCTGCCGGTATTACCTGTTAAACTTTTGACTCTTCAGGCTTGGTGTGATAATAAAATTCTGTTTTTTTTATCATCCTGCTGCTTTAGAGTTTTGCATTGTATGCTAACAGAGTACATCATTAAAAAACTCTAGTGGGTTTCAGTATGTGGAAAAAGCTGTGGTCATGGAAAAGTTATCAGCTAATATAATGTGATGTTAAATGTTGGCATTTGGTTTATCTTGTAATATATTCTTGTAAAAGCTAAGTCCTAACAGAACAATTGTTGTGTTCAATGCAGCGACACTTCCATTGCCAGATGCAAAGAAGACTCCAAAAGGAATCCGAGATCGTGTGATGATGGTTGTCGTGGCTTTCTTCATGACTTTACTCACAATTTTCCGCTCATTGGCTGGTCGTGTGACTAAAAAGTTACCTGATGCATCTCCTATTGATGAACTTAATATCAAAGACGTCACCTTAGATACAGTTCCACAGGAATCTCGTCCCCCTTCTCCGCCTCCAGCATTCACTGAAACTGATCTGATGTCCAATGTACTGAAGAGGCTGGGTGAGCTTGAGGAGAAAGTTGGTACACTTCAATCAAAGCCTTCTGAAATGCCATACGAGAAGGAAGAATTATTGAATGCTGCTGTATGTCGCGTGGATGCATTGGAGGCAGAGTTAATTGCTACTAAAAAGGTAAAGCTGCTTAATTTGATATTATGCTGTCTTACAGTGGTGGGGTTACATATGATTTGCATAGCACATGAAATCCGTTGCTTGTTGATGATTGCATTGAGAATGATGTATGCTGTTTTCTTATAGATTGGACCGTATTGTCCTTTTGAGCTAAAAAATTATGGTTCTGTTATCATCGTAATTTTCCCGTGTAATGTGTCTATTTTACATTGTTTGTCAATGTCCTTTTGTCAATATTTTCATCAATGCCAAGTTGCTTTAAAATCATGCAGCACCATGGAGTACAAGTCGTAGAATTGACCTGCCTCATGATGTTTTTTTTAATTGCCAAGTCACTGTTACGGCCATTCTTAATGCTGTGGTATATGTTGTCATACCTAGCATTAGGTGAAATGCATAATTGTTTAAGTAAAACTGTATTTGTTTGATCCTTGTGTTGGTGCCAGTTTGTTATTGATTAAGGATTATGATATTGGTGAATGCGAAGTCATACCTAATATTCCTTGCTCAGTCAATAATCTTAAATATTATAGCTGACAAACATTGTACAATTTGTAATGTGTGGACCGTGTGATAAGTGGAGTTCATCTATGCTAGATTTTCCAGTTTACGTAGTATTTGATATTTTTTCCATGGACATCTCTTATCCCGCAAACTGTTTGTCACTGCAATAGTGCAATGGATCAATGATATAATTTTTAATTTTCTAGGTGCGGACATATTATTAACTGAAAAGGGATTTTGCTGGAAATTGAAATTTATATTTATCCCAAGTCTTGTAGTTGCTGCAATTTCCTGCAATTAAGAAAAGGGTGTCATTATACTGTAGTTGTGAAAAAAGTAGGAAATACAATGAAAATATGCCTATATGATTGCTTGATTTTTTATGTGCTGCGACTCCACAAGTAACTTGAAAATTCAAATGTGCCTTTACAAACTTTAAAATGTTCTGTAGTTCTATAGTTTTACATATAGGGTTCTAAATCTCCTTATTTACAGGCTCTACATGAAGCTCTAATGAGGCAAGAGGAGCTGCTTGCTTATATTGATCGTCAAGAAGCAGCCAAGTACCAGGTAAGCACCGACTATATATAACTATTCGTTTGACTAGTTTACTGAAACTGCTGTATCTATTCATCGAGGCTTGTGCTCTTACTGTTATCGCCTCTATCTTACATTGGGTGCAGAAGAAAAAGTTTTGCTGGTGAGCGGATGCATTGAAAGAAGATGAAACGGGAACGTTGATGATAACAAGAGCTGAGACATTTTCTTAACCTTACCTTTTCTATATGTAAAACTATATCTACTTCATATTTGACAAAATGAACTACTGCCCGCAACAATGTAAAGAGATGCAGAAAATGTGTATGTAGATTTCACAGCCCCCAGTTCCAACTAAGCGGAGGGTTGAAAAAGAATTACATAATGTTTTCTGAAAACTTGCGTGTGTGTTTATTTCGTTTTAAATACAATCCATCGGACATCCAATATCGTTGCTATGTCTCTCCGGTTATGACTTAGTTTTCAGTGTTATTATCCTTAAACCCTTGTTAATAAGGTTTTGTTTGATCTGGGTTTCCACATTCTCCCTTAACTAAAGTAAAAGTTTGTTTCCCATTATAACAATCAAATGATGCCATCAATAAAAATTAGGGAACATTCTTGATATGAAGCATAATGTTTGCATTTCATTGTTTTTGCTAGCCTGTTAGTTCAATGATTGGAACAATAGGCTTCTTTATTTGCTGAACGGAAATATAAAATTTGATGAAACTTCACCGATGCTAGCCAATCTTGTAGAAGTCCTGCGTTGCGTTTACATATTGCTACCCATGTTAGAAAACTATCATTACTTCATCAGCGAATGTTATCAGGTAGTGTATGCACCGGCGAATGTTATCAGGTAGTTGCGCAAAAAACTGAGGGGAAAAGTGTATTAGGTGGTGTATACAAAGTAACACCGGCGTAACACCGGCGAATGTTATCAGGTAGTTGCGCAGAAAAACTAAGGGGAAAAGTGTATGCACAACTAATTAGTTAGTAACAGTTTTATGAAACCAATTTGTAAGTAACATAATGCAAGTTGTTTGACGGTCTAAACCACTATATAACCTTGGAGAACATAAGGTGTTGTAGCTAATCTTGTGATATTTCAGGCTGCAAGAAATTAGTGATTATTGCTTACATTTATATGTAAGAAGTTTCCAAAACATCAGGCCGTTATTTAATTTTGACAACGTTCACAATAAAACACATCAAGAAGAAAAACAACCAAGGCATAGAGAAAAAAAAACACAAATCCAAGATGACTAAATAAAGGACATGTGAGGCAATGATCCTCTTTGAGCTATCAGCTGTGGCCAATTGAGTTTACGGAGTACAGTTAGCAGTCAATTGATTTAGGGAGTACAATCAGTCGCCGATGAGGGGTCATTGGGTTGAGGGTTCTGCGCTAATTGGTCTGTAATGACGAGCCCTTTCTATTTTAGTAGGTATTATTGTCTTAATTTCGTTATCGTTTCCAAGTAAATTGTGGCACAACCAACATGATGAGAAACTGAACTGCTTAGTCTTGTTTCTTATCCACCAAAAGTCACCAAAACACAAGGGGTCATAGTCTCAGAGTACAAGTGTCCTCTGAAGTCATTTTTACGATGTACAAACTTTTCAAAGTAATATCACAGAAAAAAAATATAAGATAAATAATTGGGGTGATAGTATATTAGTCATATACAAAGCAACAGGCAAACATTGAGGGGGATAGCGGGGGATATAACTCGCAATCGCCTCCAGGTTAGAGACTCTTCGATTCTTAATATTACAGCAAGGCAACGAACAGTTTACAGACAACTCACTTCTACTATCTCTGACCAGAAGAACTGATGTGCTCAAAAAAGGAACTGCAGATGCAACATAAGGAGAAGAAATCAGTAACTCAATATTGTGCTGCAAAGAAGTTACAAGAAAAATAAAATGAAGGTAAATGCATACCATCTTCTTCTTCTTTTTCTTCTTTTCGAGGAATGCTAACAGCTCTCCCTGTCTTTGCATTGATTCCTCAAGAAGCTGCAACGGTTCATGTTTGTCACAATTTGATCTTTCATTTAGAAAACCTCTCCAAAATCTATGTATTAGTTTATCTAACTTTTAATACTTGTCGGAAACAGTTTATTTGCCTGATTAATTAGGTGACTAATTCTAGACATATGATTAACTCCCGTTTGGCTTGAATTAAGGACACTTCTGATATGTTGCTCTTGTTAGGTGCCTTAATGTAGCAGGTTTCATTTTGTAAGTTTGCAGACAATTTATACAGGAATGAATTCTTGTTCTTAGCCTAGGATATTGTTCAGAAAAACTGCTGGTGAATTTTTGTCAGGATTTCAGTCTTAAGCTCAGAAAACTATCTAGGATTTATGTCAATAAACTTAATGATTAAGATGTATAAATTACCTTCTTTGTTGCGGAAAGTTCCTGCTCAAGGACTTCAACACGGCTCATTGCATTGTTGAGCATATCCTCTTTTTCGGGAGGCATGATGGCTGGTTTCGCAGCAAGGGAAATCACCTTCCCTTCCAATTCACCCATGCGCTTCATCATTGCAAAATACTCAACCTCAGAGATTGCATGTCCAGGCAATTTATGTGAGTCCTTTACAGCAGTCTCATCACAGTAAGTATATAAGGTCGCATCAGTAAGCTTCTTGGGCATGTTTCGAGTCAATCTGATCATCGTTACAATGCCCATCATCACAGACATGAGACCAGTGACTAGATGGTTGCTAAATTTCTGATTAGAACCCTCAAAACTGTTCTTTGATGGTAAACAACCTGCAGTTTCAGTAAGTAAATATCAGTAACAGAATTCAAACCTTTAACTCTCCGATAAATAAACATGCTTCAGTTACTAATTTACTACAAGTATTACAGAAAACATCTGTTAGGCAGAATGTAGCAACAACAACATCAACAACAAGAAAAAAAAAAAAAAAAAAAAAATCAATCCACCCTAGTGAAGTAAATCCATAATCTGCAAAACGGAAACTACATAAATTCTATTATGTGAGTAGACTTGTATACTTATTTTACTACTTAGGTATGCATATAGATTACACCATTTGTAGGTCTTGGGACATATAGTAGTCATAAGTCATGCACACATTTTAGTTCAACTAGTTTGTATTTGAGAAAAGGAAAGGCATAAATTCTTTTCGCCCCTGGTTTAAATCCTTTCCCTTTGGCTGCAAGTCCATTAATAAAAGTAGAGACACATTTGGCAGAATTTTCTTGTTAAAAAGGGCAGAGATGCCGATACCTTTGGTCATGGCCAGCTTGTTCATGTTGATATCAACAGGTTTGCTCCACGATTTTTCCATGTCCTTGTCTACCATTGGGATGAAGTTGTCATATGGGAAGGGACTCGGTGCATCTTTGCACATAGGTTCCTGCAAAAAATAGACACAAAACTAAATTAGGATTCTATAATCAAATTTGTCACCTTTCTAAATTAATGTTGGTGATAGTATATAATTTTTGATATGTTTGCTGCTGTTAGCTATTTACATGGTACAATACAAGGTTGTTATAACAATGAATGACATATTGACACGTACTTTGGGTGCATAATACTGGAACTCATCTGAATCGCATGAGTTGCATCCCTTCACATTACGAAAACAAAGAAATGAAGTTAGTAAATATGCAGTACATGACTACATACCCCTAGCCTACAAGACATTTTGAGTTTGGAGATTAAGTACATTCCCCAGAAGTCAGAAGACTACCTTTGGTTTTGCCATCTCATCTTCACCAATGGTTTTTTCGTCTATCACTGGGAAGGGACCCCTTACGTTGCATTTGGCCTCACCATTACGAACCATCTACAGAAGCGAAAACAATAGGAAGGAAAAAAAAACAATTAACAAGTGAAAGAAAGATAATGTAAGTTCAATTGGAAGAAATGATGATCTAGGTAGAAAAGAGATTTTCTGCTAAAATCAAACCTTCATTATCTCAGGATCATTCCATGGCCCTTTATCAGATTTCAAGCAGCCACCTTTTTCTGCACAGGTGCAGGTACCGCCCAAAAATTCTGGCAGTTCACTGTAATCATATGAAATTGGCTTAATAAGTAAAGTTTCGCTTTCAGGAATTTGTAAACTTATTTCACTCTAACTAATGTTGAAGTAAAATTTCAGATTCTGACACTTACATACAGACGATACAGTACTTTAAGTGTTTAATACTTAACATTTAACAAATGACATGACATAATATGTTTTATGTAGGAACGGAGGGAGTATAAACCAATAACAGATAAGAATAGTAACCTGGCATCAATGATCTCAAGCAGTTTGCTTTGGTACTTGTTGCCCAGGACCTTTACACAAAAAATTAATATTAGGCCTAAAATCCTCAATCAAAAATCACAGCAAAACAGAAAGAGATGTTTATTGAGTACTTACATGAATCTTCTGGGTTGTTTTGGGATCAAGGAACGACTTAACGGTGCTCCACAACAGCCTGAAACCAGATCCTGCATTGATGATGTACATCCTACACAGGGTCTGAAAAACCGAAAAAATGTCAAAAATTTCCTGATTCTCAGTTTGACAGCCAATCATACCATGCACAAACTAGTAAAGCTTGTGTAAGGAAGCAAGAAAATCTGTACCTCAGGGTAATTGTCACCGTCTATCTTTTGTAGGGTCTGGATGAGTTCCCTTGCCGCCTTGTTGAAGTTCTTAAGCCCCTGCACGTCACACACATTAAAGATTAATGTTCGGTCCTGGTCTTAATGCTTTTCTCCCTCTGGCTAGTTATATAATTTCTTTTAATTTTAACTTGGGTTTTAATAGAAGTAGCACTTCAACTATAGATTTATGTTATGGTACAGTTCATCTCATGCATACATACCACTCCTTGAACATCCAGAATAGTGGTACTCTGATCAATGTGTTTCTTTGCAGCAATTGAACAAGCTGGGAACTTATCAATAAAGGTCCTCTCAAACTCTTGGACGTGATACTTAAGATATCGGTCCATGGAGGTGACTTGCATCAACTTATTCGGATCAACCTGACCCAACTTTTCAATGTAAACTGGCCGGCCTTCCTTGTCAACTCCATGGTGTCCTTGAGGATAGTATTGCTTGACCTCTTCAACTTCCTTGAACTCAAAATCCTACACAGGAAAGACGAAAAGTATGGCAAACCAGTTAGAAAACATCTCTACACGTCTACACCACTTGAGACTAAATGAGTGCTAAACATGTCAAAAACTGACCCAATCTTAGCACAACCGAAGAGAACTTGTCTAAAACAGATAAAATCTTGAAGCTAGGTAAAAAAATTCTCTTCAAACCCATTAAAAATAGGCATAAGATTGCATTTAACCTGAGAACCTGACCTGAACAAAATCCGATCAAATTTGAAGAATGAAATTCACAAAGGCTTATTGAAAGTAAAAATTCTAATCAAAACATTAGATCGATCAATCTAAAGATTCTAAACCGGATGACCTAACTGTTCTGTTTGATTCAACTGACAGAAACATATTGTATATTATAAGAACAACATTCCTCAGAATATACAGTATATACCTCCATGATTGTGTCAGCACCAAAATCCTTTCTCCATTGGATCATGTCAGACCACATTTGCTTTGACTTCTCGATATCAAATTTCCTGGCCTTCAAGAATCTGTCAAATTATTCATAATTTGCTATTAACTATTTAAACCAAGAAAAATTCAAACTAATTTCAGAGAAATTGAAATAAATGTCTAGGAACAATTTTGAAATCAAGTTGAAATAAAGATGGAAAATGTTACCTAAGCAGCATGTGATAATCATCATGCTTTGTAGGAAGCAATTCTTCCAAACTAAGGGCCTGACGAAATGCATCTACTGCCTTCATTTCCTCTGCATCATGTTCATCTTCGAAAGCAAATGACATGACTCTGCTGTTCCTTCTACCTTTCTTTGTCAGCGAGTTTCTGAACATGCTTGAGACATTAAAAGCCGCCTTCTTGAAGGAACCAAGCTTCGTTCTCTTCTCATCATCATAGAAATCAATGTCAGGTTTCTCAAGTCCTGAAAAAGCAACCAAAATAGCCATATAAGATCAACTTAATACCATATCAGTCAAAAGGCCTACATTTTCATCAGAAGCATAAATTGTCAGAATAAAGCACCTTGAGAACAAGAGAGGAAAACAAACACTTACCCGGTTTTAGGGACTGTGCAACAGATCCAGACATTGTTTCGGTCACGGTCATTGCCTCTACACTCATAAAACGCGTAAAAAACTCTGCAAAGAATAGACAATCAAACACTCATATCACATTGTGGTACCAATATATACAAGTACCATATAAGATTGATTTCTAGTTATTTTGTTCCATTTATATGAGATGTTTGTGAAAGATCATGTAGGATATCAATACACATAATATCGCGAGCATTTGAAATATTTTCAAGATACAGTTGTTCATGAAATTTGATCACTCTGACCTCAAGTATACCTTTACAAAATCACAAGATGAAGTCACCTTTTAAGATCAACAGCTCTCAGATATCAGTATCATAAGTTGTTACCCCAAAATATAACTCATGGTAAGTTTTTATATTGTATCAAACACATTCAATAATAGAGGTCAATTATTTACACTACATAATATAATCATGAAATAATATAAAAGGGTTTATCAACACAATAGTAATGCTATTCATCAAACAAGTTTAACCAACTTGACATTCAATGTTGGTATTAAATCTCGTCTACATTATTACTCTATGTGACTATGATATTTATTCAATCTCGTCTACATCAATGTCATATTCATACACGTACCCAAAAAAAAAAAAACACAAAAGCCCTTAGGAGATTTTAACATTGAAGAAAAACAAAATCATTATCAGCTCAATATCACCCCAAAAAAAAATCTACAATTTCATAAGTAACAACAAGACATATACCAACTTAATGCAGAATTATCTCAATTGAGCAACAATGAATGCAAAAAATTGTTGCTTTTGTTATGTTTTTTTTTTTTTTTTTTTGAAATAGATAATTATGTAATTAGGATAAGAAGAAGAAATTATTACCTGGAAACAAAATATGTTTAGGAACAAAAAAATGAAGGGAGGAGAGAGAATTTGGAGGGAGTTATAGAATTGCTAGGCTCTTCACAACGGCTAGGAGACAACTCTCATTGTAAGACAGCATAATCATAATTTTATTTTATTTTTTAATAAAATAATTTTTGATATTGTATTTGATACAGATGTTTTTATAACTCCATTGGCATAGTCTTAGATTTATGTAAATTCTTTTGTTATTAAAGAGATAGGAAAAATATAAAGGCATAAATATAAATTAAATTAATATAGAATAAAAGAGATAGGCGGCTAAGTGAGAAATGCAAGGCACTCCGTCCATATTAATGATCATTTTCAATGTTAACAGATGGGAAAACTTGTATTGATGATTTCGAGTATGTACGTATTTTGTACGTATAATTTCCCTCGAAGTATTTATACTTTGGTCGAACTTGATTTGCAATAAATTTCTCCGAGCTAACCTTATACGTACGGTTTAATGGTTTTCGATTTAAAAATAAACCAAAGTTAATACTTTTGATGTTGATGATCGTCTTTGTCAATTGTCTTTTTAAGAAGTTTCTTTGCCTTCTCCACGTTAAAGTGCCCGCAATCTTACCAACCGTGGCCAACTACCTACCTAGGTGCTAGCCATTCACTTTTATCCTTTATGATTTTGCAATATGAAAATCATGGAGTATTATTCCTTCAAACATAAATAATCTTGAGCATAATGTATTGGGCATGGACCGCATGGTATTAGATTCCAAAGTAAGGATGCAAAAATATATGGAGTGTTGCCAAAAAAAAAAATATATATGGAGTACCGATCTATGTAAAAGTATCATTTATAAACTTTGGCATGATAAATATGCGAGTTTAATAGATCACTAAAATATATTTGGTTTCGCTTTGTGCTCCTATTTGGTTCACATACATGCCATCATAGATATCAAATATATACACTGCTTCTAATCCGAGTTTGAACTCAATTCTCATACACTACGAGTACTATTTTTGTTAACTTGAGCTTTTTCATGTGCTCAAAGTTCAACACCTAGACCGTGCTTTTAATTTACATATGTGAAAAGGCATTATTGTACTATATTTATCGATATTAATAGTCGAAATGAGTATATATTGAAAACCAAGTAAAATGTAAGTGAATAAAACTTAAGAAAACATAGAGGGTAATTTTTGAAACCATAAAAATGAATTTAATTGACATTATTATAAGATGAAAAGTCAATAACTATATATGAAAAGTACATTTATTCCTAAAAAAAATTCCTCCAAATCTACATTTATCCATAAATTATCAATGTTGGTAATTTCAAATTTTCACTTCCAAACCTCCAATTGATTCTTTCTCAATTTGACTAAAAGAGTGGGCAATTAATTCGCGACAAGAAATCCAGGATACCGACAGCATGGAAGAGCCAAATTGAGGCCAACATGTAATGTTTGTAACACAAAATATTCAAATATATAATTAGTCATTTATTATAAGGTAGTTTGATGATGAAATATGGAAGAATAGTTCCAAATTTCCAATTATATTTGAGGTCCTCCACTAAGTTTTGGGTCAGCCTCGTTACATTTAATCGTAAACTATTCTGATTATGGCCTGCCTAAGTCAAACAAAGGAAATGCATGTTATAAGTAAGATCTTTACTACTACTAGTATTCATTAAATCATAAATAGTTGATGCCTACTCGGCTAATTCAGCCTATTGCTTGGCCTATATCTATTTCGAATCAGTTGTTATATTGTCTCAATCTCTTATAAATACAAAGTAATAATTGTATTCAATTCTCTATATATATAAAAAAAATTATCTTTCATAGCTTTAATTTAACTTTAAAAGCAAGGTCAAATTTTCTCTCTATATATATATACTTCCACCGTTTAATATTAGTTAATACATTTTTGTGATTGGATCAAAAAAGAAATTATAGTAATGTAGGATCAAAAAAGAAATTATATATACTTCCACCGTTTAATATTAGCTAATACACTTCACTTTTTAAATGTTTTTCTCTTATTAATAACTTTTTTTTTTTTTTTTTGTCAATCCTAGAATTCCCTGATATCGGGAGGGAAGCTCTAACCACTTGAACTATCTTTCACTCTCTATTAGTAACAAATTGTAATTATAATGTTTGCAAATTAAATATGTGTCAATCAATCCGATAAACATGCTTAAAAAAATATGTCAACTAATATAAAAACAAACGGAGGAAGTAATAATGACAATATACAAGTACTCCTCCGTTTCATATAAATATAATTTCCGTGAAGGATTACCTATATTTATATATCAAGCTTTTATTTAAGTAGTTTAGAAAACTACTCATTGCCTCCAACCTGCCCACCTACCCTCCTTTTGTTTAAGATATTCAAGTAAATATGTCCTCATAATGTAAAGCAAGAAAAATTGCATTTAATATTTTTTTGAATAGAAGAAGAATTACATAATTGTCTGCAAATAACTGGCACAATCTTAGTGTTATTAATATTAAAATATATAATCATAAAGATATTAGCTAAAGATTGTCATATAAATATTGGTGTATACGGTGGGTGAGTGACTTTGAGAGTAATTAAGAACTAATAAGAAGCTTACACGTCATATATCATTATATTTTTATATCATTTTGAACTTTTAGGTCAATGATCACAGCTTAAATATTCAAGTACTCCCAAGTAATATTAGCACACACACAAATATATAAAAAGGGTATTCAGCAATATTGGAACAAGTATATTAATCAAGAATTTAAAGTGCTTTATTTAGTAGTCATTGCTAGTTAAACCTAATTTGTTACATACCAATAAAAGTGCCCAAGTTTACAAAATAGAAGGCCTACTATTGTTGTCTTGCACAAGAAAGTGCTCTTTCTAACAACTATTTTTAGAAGATTTATTTTGATAAAACATACACAACTCATTATGGAAGTTTATATGTCATGTGGTGTTATATATGATTCAATGTTTCTTATTTTATGTCAACACACTACAAGAAAACATGCGTATGTATGATCTTTACAAGATTCGAACATGCAACCTTAAACTCTTATATTAAATGTTTCACCAATGAGCTATGACATATTTTATGTATTCTTTGTCAAACAATATTTATATATATAGTGTTGAAAAGGCTTTTCGTATCGATTTTAGGATTTAGTGGCGATTGTAAATGATGATACGATTTCTAAAAATTATATAAATGTGTAAAAATAGTGTTGATATGTATTATTATGTTTTCCGTATCGATTTTATATGGGAAAACCATGGCGATTGTAAAAATGATACGACAACCTTAATTATTTCACAAACATACTTGCATATTGTAGCGAATGTACAATCGCTACGAAAAGAGATTTTTCTTGTAGTGACATTCAATAAGTTAGAAATGCAATTTATATCTGATTCAATCATGCAATCTCATGGCCTCATTTATCTATTGAAAACCAAAACACAAAATTAATTAATAACTATATATATATTATGTGATAAGTAATTGTTTTTTTTAAAAAAAAAGTCATGCAATTATTCTTAATTATATCATGATCATTATGAAATAAAGAGAGTAATTGTTATCCTATATAATGACATGAGATTCAAATACTATTTCGTATATCATACTATACTTCGTACTTCATAATAGATCTTTTTTTTTTGTTTTTTTTTTTTTTGTTAATTTTGGGATTTTATTTGAGCGGGGCTTCCTTAGTTAGGGTCTTAGGAAATGGGTGTTGGTGTTGGACTGTTGGTTGGGCCATCCTACTCCTAACTCCTAACAATTCTAAGGCCCATCAAATGCAGACGACTTCATTCCTATGTTGGCTTGTGTGTACTCAGTAAAGTCAGTAGTGTTCATTCCCTTGAAAAAAAAACCTCTTAAAACAACACAAATCAAATAGCGCTATCAAATTGAGTCTACAATCAATTGTAATTAGGGTCCAATTGGATTGATTGTTATGAAGGTTTACATGAGATCACTATGCCACTCTTCACTCAGTTTCATAATTGGAGTATTCAACACATTTATCGAGAGGCAAATCGAGCAGCAGATTGGATTGCTAATATAGGTCATTTAGTGTTTGATAATATGTATATTGATGTTTCTAATAGCTCTAGCCTATTCCCTATTCTTTCCTTTGATGTGTTAGGATTTCCCCTTGTGAGGAGGTTGTTATTTTCCTTACCTTTATTTTTTTTAAAAAAAAAAAAAAACTATGCCAATGTGGATTGCACGTATACATAGTAGATTTCTTTCATTTTCGGGTCACTTCAATATGTGTCGGGTTGTGGTCATATCGAATAAATTTTTACTAGCTCTTAGGTTTTGTAATTAGGGTCTAATTGACTAATTGGGTTGAGTCTTTTGGTATGAAGGTTAATATGGGATCACTATGAAAATGCGGATTTAATGCATAATCGGTAAAATTCATTTCGGATCACTTCAGTATGTGTCAAGTTATGATCAAATCGGATTAGTTTTTGCCAACTCTCATACAAGTTTTCGAACCCGCTCATACGAGTAGTTACCACTGCGTAGTAAGTAGAATCGTTGACCACTACAAAGAAGTGACCTATTGCCCTACACTATCACTTCCTTTCTCTCTCCTACTGTTACTCTTCCTCTGTGAACAACCATGGCGGCCACCCACCTTCTCTCTCAATCCACAACTCTCAATCAAACCCCTAACCTCTCTTCTAAACCCAAAACCCCTTTTCTTTCAAACCGCCTTATCACCTTCAACAAACCCTTTTCCCCAAAACCCTCAATCACCTTCAACAAACCTCTCTTAACCCCAAAACCCTTGACTCTCAAAGCAGCTGTTTCCCAAAACGCTGCAACAATAGAGCCCCAAACTAGCGATTTCAAGCATTGTTTCTCAAAAAAAGAAGATGGGTATTTGTATTGTGAAGGGCAAAAGGTGCAAGATGTTATGGAAAGTGTTGAAAAGAGGCCATTTTATTTGTATAGTAAACCCCAAATTACTAGAAATGTTGTGGCTTATAAAAATGCTCTTGAAGGGTTGAGATCAATTATTGGTTATGCCATTAAGGCTAATAATAATGTCAAGATTTTGGAACATTTGAGGGAATTGGGTTGTGGGGCTGTTCTTGTTAGTGGTAATGAGCTCAGGCTTGCTTTGGCTACTGGTTTTGATCCCACTAAGTAAGATGACATCTCTTTCTCTCTCAATTTGAGTAATTTGGTGTAGTTTATGATTGTATTTTGCTGTTTATGTGCTTGAAAATAGATGATTTTAACTTGCTAGTAGTGAAATGCTGTATTTGTGGCTTTTATGTATGAATCAGTGTTACCTAATTTGTGGTAGGATTTGGTACTCAAAACGGGTATGGAAATGCAAATTGCTACCTGATGTGTTGAAGAGAGGGTGATGATAGTTTATTGTTCGATGCTTGGAAAATGGTCATTGATCATGGTATTAATATGGAGCTAGTTAATGGTATCTTATGAATCATTACTTTGTTTCTTTGCATTGTATAATGTTACAATTTTATTATGCTCTGTAGTTGACAACTATAAGTTGAAGCATTGGGGGTATTGGTTTGTTTGTAGCTTGTGTGAACCCTTAATTGATTAGACTCTGAAATAATGTAGCTTGTCCACTGAGATGATGTCTTGATGGTAGGTGTATCTTCAATGGAAATGGGAAGACATTGGAGGATTTAGTCCTTGCTGCTGAGAGCGGTGTATTCGTGAACATTGACAGTGAGTTTGACTTGGACAACATCATTTCAGCTGCTAAAATTACAGGGAAGAGGGTGAATGTATTGCTTCGAATTAACCCTGATGTTGATCCTCAGGTATGTCTGTTAAGATGTCATCTTATTTATACATATATTATTTTTCCTTCTTAACACTACTATACTTTTAGTTGTCTGAGATAAATCTATTGTCTTCAATTGGTATGGCATGTGTAGTGAATATGTCAAATGTTATGGAAGCTTGGAACCTTGGCTTGTTAAAGAATTTTTTGAGGCATGTTTGCTACAGTATTTAGTCCCTTTTTTGGGGGCGTAGGAATCTGATATATCTCTGTGATTCAATTGCATTGTCTAAGCTGAACAGTCTGTAGCTCAGTTTGTGGTATCGTTGCTTTAACCCTTTTCATGCCCATGGGAGACCAGAGTCCTGTGTTGAGTATTCCATATTTCTGTTGTAGAAAAGGAGAACTGTGTTATGGACTGACTTAGGATTTTCTAATTTAAGGACTAATTAAGATATAAAAGCTTGATAATTTAGATTAATAATAGCAGAATTTGGATACAAAAGGATAGATTAATAGCTTAAGGCTATCACTCTCTTGATAACTTTAGGTTATCACTCTCCTAGTAACTTGAGGTTACTACTCTCAACATTTTTCCTCACAATTCACATGATAGCTAATGCATACACTATCCCTTATTTATACTAAGGCTTAGTTAGGAATAAGGGCTACTAACCTAAAAGTACTAAAATTCCCAAACTACCCTTGTTAATGTTAGTCTATTACAAACTGATATAAAATTGTTGCAGAACTCTGGGAGAGTCAGAGTCTAGCAATATTACTCCTTTGTCTCCTAATGTTATTCTTCAATTTGTTTCCCTTATTATTCCTTTGTCCAATCTGTCTTTTTTTTTTTTTTTCTTTTTTTTTTCTTTTTTTTTTCTGTCAGGTAAGGAAAGGTTACCAAATAAGATACGGGGTAAACTCAAATTGACAAACCAAATAGGAAATTTGGGCAATTTACAAGGGATGGAGCCACGGAGGGGTTCTTTTTAGTCAAACTCAAAATCATTTATCATCTTTCACAAGCGAACATGGCCTTGGGTCCCTACTCCCTAGTGCAATGCTTTGACTATAAGTTGTTTAAAAATTTGAATTGCATCCACACCTTCGTTTTAGTTTTCAAATTATGAAATTTTAAATGTCTTAAAGTGCTTGTTGAATCCTGTCAATATTCAAAATATACATTATTTTTATCATTGAAAGTAATAGGTGAGTGTATATAAGGGAGAGAAACCGGGAGGCCTAAATTGCCATTTATGAACAATGGTAGGTGTTGTTGCATATATACATTCATTTAGGCAAGATAAATTCTTTCATGCCTTTTTTCTTGTGTTTCCATATGGCTTACCTATTGGTCGTTACTTTTAGGTCCATCCTTATGTTGCTACAGGGAACAAGAACTCCAAATTTGGTATTAGAAATGAGAAATTACAATGGTTTTTGGATGCTGTGAAAGCTCATCCTAATGAGCTAAAGCTAGTTGGAGCTCATTGCCATCTTGGATCAACAATCACCAAGGTATTTAAGTATCGTCTTTTTTTCTTAGGAGTTTTGAGTACTTTCAATTTATTGATTCTGAGATGCCCATATAAACTGTCTAATCTTCGGGAGTACTTTGTTGGTGTCTGTTTATTTTGCTTTGTAATTCATACTCCATAGCCTCTCAAAGTCTCAATAGTTAAAAAATATTTGTGTACCCATGTACAGGTGGATATATTCAGGGATGCTGCTGTCCTTATGGTAGACTATATAGACCAAATTCGTGACCAAGGTTTCGAGATTAGTTACTTGAACATTGGAGGTGGTCTGGGAATAGATTACTATCATGCCGGTGCTGTTCTTCCTACACCTAGAGATCTTATTAACACAGTAAGGCCATAGCAGATCTGTACATGCAGATCTATATTACTCTAAGTCATATAGTTAGGCTGAATTGATGTTGATGATAAAATTGGTTATGACCATTTATGCTTGTTGCAGGTGCGTGAATTGGTCCTCTCACGAGATCTCAACCTTATCATTGAACCAGGAAGATCACTTATTGCTAATACCTGTTGCCTAGTTAATCGTGTCACTGGTGTCAAAACTAATGGTACAAAGAATTTTATTGTGATTGATGGGAGCATGGCAGAACTTATCCGTCCGAGTCTTTATGATGCTTACCAAGTAAGTAGATTTCCTGGCAGTTGTAATCAATTTAGCCACAAGGCTAGTACTGCGCTAAATTGTATTACTGTAATTTACTTGGGTCCAATAACTGCCGAAACGGCTTTCTAACTACTGTAAATAATATCTGCAGCATATAGAGCTAGTTTCTCCAGCTCCATCAGATGTAGAGTTATTAACCTTTGATGTGGTTGGCCCAGTCTGTGAGTCAGCTGACTTCTTGGGCAAGGAGCGCAAACTTCCTACTCCACAAAGTGTAATGATAATGCCTTTTTCTCCTATTCAATCCCTTTGGTTTAAGTTGTTACGAATAAATTTCATGTAATCATGTTTTAATACTTGGGTTTTGGTTTGCAGGGAGCTGGATTAGTAGTTCATGATGCAGGTGCCTATTGCATGAGCATGGCCTCCACCTACAATCTCAAGATGCGCCCACCAGAATACTGGGTACTGAGTCTTATCCCTTATTTATGGGAAAATATCTGTTTCCGCATCTTGCTCCCTAATTATCCATTTCTTTACTTAAATGAGGATTGTCACTGTGTCTTGATTATGTTCTTAGGGCTTTTTTTTTTTTGACAAAATCACATCATTGGAAGCCATTTTTAATCCTTATTTTTCCTTTGTTTAGTGCTTTAGTAGAAAATCAATCTAAAGAATGTTTGTTTCAACCAGTAAAAAAGAAATGGAATGGAATGGAATTAGAGGGAGGAATGTTTCATATTCAATCCATTTCACTAATCTGATAAAGTTGCTTTGTTCAGCAAATTGGGGCTCACCATATGGTTTTACTCTTGCACTTGGATCTTCCTCCTTGTTCTTCCTTTCTTTCTCTTCTTTGTGCTATATCAGGCTCTTCCATGGTTTTACACTTGTACTTGTGATCTTTATTATCAACCTAATAATATTATTGACCCCTTCGCAGTCCAAATATTCAGATAATATCTGCAATCAAATGCTGGGTTTAGTTAAATGGATATTTTTTTTTTCCTAACTTTCCATTTTCTTTCATTTGGATTGTAAAAGGAGTGAAACCAAACAAGAAGAAGTTTTAGAGATTGAGGAATTGTTTCTTTTTGTGGACTGAGCAAGTCGTCTATTTTTTTTGGTGGTGGTGAGGTTGCTTTGTGTTTTTGTTAGTAATGCTTTTGTGAGTACTAAATACTATAATCTCTTTGTAGATTGAAGAAGATGGATCAGTTGCCAAAATCCGCCATGGTGAGACATTTGAAGACCACATGAGATACTTTTCTGGTCTCTAATCATTAGTCGGTGAAATGTTGCCATCATCCAACTTGAAGAGGATTGAGTACTTGCCTGTTGTAGGGAAAATGATGTAATCTATTAGATAAGCATTTGCCTGGAGATTGCTGCATGCTTTGTAATATTCACAGTATATTAGTGTTCTTTTTTCCAGTTTATTGAGAGCACTGATGTACTTCGGCGTAATTGAAATATTTTGCCACGTTTTTCCCCCTCCCGTCCTTTCCTTATTTCCCTGTTCTCTTCTTCTTGTGTTACCGGAAGGCATTTGCCTGTATATGGTGTTTAGTTGATTAGTTCATCCGTAAGTTCACTGCCCCTCATCTTCTTCTCTCATTCTTCATTTTCTCTAATTTATATTCCATATGAAGACATTTGCAATAATGGCCTTAATGGGTCCCTAATAAAGGTCCGTACGTTGCCTCATTTTTTTTAACTTATTGTATCTTATTTCAAATAACTTTTTAAAAAATAATTTCAGATAAAATAAGTTTTGACAAAGTAAATGCGTAGTAATTTACTTGTATTTATAACATAAATATTACTCGAGAGGGTAGGAGAAATTCTTCACACACTCCCAAGTCCCAACAAGGTTCGAACACAGATGGTTAGGAACACCCACTCTGCCACTCATACGTAGTCATACCCAAGGGGAAATTGGTCCTTAGAGCATCCCCATCAATGAGCATTTTTTTGCTCATGAGCAAAAATGATGACAAAAATGGTAAAAGATGTTCCCCATCAATGAGCATATTGAAAAATGCTTATGAGCAAAATGAAAATTGCTCATAGGATGAGCATTTTTTAAGATGAATAGTAATCATGTGGGGTCTACAATGCAAGTAAAAAAAAAGAATCAAAAATAATATAGTAGAGAGAAATATAAGAGGGTATTAGAGAGAAGATGTACTAGAGAGAGAATGGGGAAGAAATTTTTTTTTATCATTGGTGGGATAAAAATATGATCACAAAAATGCTCATGGGTTGAAAGAGAGAGAAAGTGGGTAGAGAGAGAATGAGGAAACCAATTTTTGCTCATTGTTGGGAATGCTCTTAAAGATAGCGCAAAATACATGTTAAAAAAAGGGGTGTGTTGGACATTTCCATCAGTAACATGGGGTATTTTGATAATAGCAGAGTAGATGACTAGGAAAAAATGCCAGGTAAATAAATTTTGACTCCACGAAAAAAATATGCGGTGGTAAATAAATTTTGACTCCACGAAAAAAATATTCGGTGTTAAGCGGTCGTTATCACTGAGAAAGGTCAACCTGTTTGACTAAGTAACGGAGGAAACGACGATGTTAGGATATTAAAATAGCTGAATCCAGGTTGAACGAAATTGAGGAAAAGGGCTTAGTATAGCGGCTTGACGAATCGGATAGCGTTCTAGATTTTGCGGCATCGGGGGTGAAGCAGTACGTTAGCTCAACTTGAAATTGGTTCTCCATCCAGGTAATCGGATTCTTGAATTTTATAATTGTCTTTTGTTCAGTAATTTGTATTTGTATGTGTCATTTTGTAAGCCACACTGTTTATCACTTCATTTATTTGTATATGTAAGGTTGATTTAGTAAAAGTATGAAACTGGTAGTAGTTTTGGATGGTCATTTAGTTAGTGAATTGTTTGTATGTGTGTGAATCCGGTAATATGATCCGGAAAAATGAAATTCATGACGTTACTCGCGTATGGTAACAGGAAAGTAGAGTATGGAGGAAGAAATGGTTGAAGTGAGAAATTCCAACAATGCGAAGGTAATGTGTTTAAATAATTGCAAAGTAGTCATTGATTTAGTTAATTATTTGAAATGTATGAAATTCCATTGAGGGTGCATGCAAATCAACCAACTGTGAGGTAATTGAGATAGGTAATCGTGAGTTGGCAAATATAAAATTTGTTGTCAAGATTTGTACTAATATTTTGTCAAGTGCAGGCTCCCAGTGGAGTGAATTCCCGGACACTAATTGCGTTACACCCTGCATTGTTCAAGGTAAAATAACCATTTTAATTCTTCAAGTGATAATAGTTGGTATCTTAGTAAAGTTGAAGGTAATAATCTATATGTGTTCGGTGTGATGCAATTGAATGTGGAAAGAAGGTGTTATTGATTGTTGTGTGCCTTGTTATTGATCGTTGTTGATTATTGTTATTTGTTAATAGGATGATAGCATAAGCGAAGGTGGTATGATGAAGGCTAAGGGTGAAGTACTAAAACAACAAGCATTGTTGTGTGGTCGGGTGAGTCTTAATGTCATCGGTAAATTTGTTAATATTTTAGTATTCATTATTTGTTGTGGTGGTAGTGTAAATATTTTAGTATGCATTATTTATTGTGGTGGTAGTGTAAATAAAAATCCTCATCCCTTTCAGCCTCCCAATATCAGTTGTAGAGTAGAGACGTTTGGGCGGATATGCCAAACATTTGATGAAAGAAGGAAGAGTTGGGTGACAGACATGGGATTTGGTGGACTTCTCCATTTTGTATCTGACATGCACTTACCTAGGCAACTTGCCTACTGGATAATGACAAGGATTGGCCCCATAAATAAAAGTTTTGTTGGTATGGATGGTCGTGTGTTTTGGTTTTCAAAGAACCAAGTAAGGTGGATTTTTGGCCTTCCAAATGGGTCAAGGTGTGTGCCTTCAAATAAAACAATGACTCCTGAAGTGCGGTCAAAAGTGGAGAAGATGTTGTTCAAATATGGGCGTACTTGGCTCACGAAATCGTGTAGAAGGACTGGCCGTGAGTATACCTCTGTTGGGATTCCTGTCACATCTGAGTTGCTTGAGCGGTTGGAATGTCATTTTGAACCCGACGAGGAAGAAGATTTCAAGTTGTTGTTTTTGCTAGTTGCGTTGCAAATGGTATTGTGTCCTACGCAATCACCAAGACTGGCATCTGATTTGCTTCCTGCGCTAAGCTGTGCGATGGACTGTGCCGAGTACAATTGGTGTGAGTTAGTCTTGGAGAAACTAATGGAGAGCGTAGCCAATTTTGGCAAGAGGTTTTATGCGACTGGGTTTGCCAATGGATGTGGGGGCTGTGCATTTTTTGCCGTGGTATGATGTTTTACAACTTCGATGTTTTCAGCTATAGTTGTTACAAGTTTGTCAGTTATTCAATGACCTTTCTACTATGATGCAGATTTATTATTTGGATCGTCTTGACAGAGAACCGGTTAAGTGGAATGTGTATCCTAGAGTTCAAGTGTGGAGCATGAAACTAATTACGGAGGCATCGAAGGATGATAGATTTAGTTCTGGTGACTACGGGAAGTTGGGGGTAAGGCTTTGGTACTCTACCGTGTTAATGAACTGGGTTTTGCTATGACATTTACTGGGCACAATTACTGGGCTAACATTTTTGAGAATGCAGCTCGTAGATGTGGCTTATGGAGAACGTCATTCACGCCAAGCTAGGGACACCGAAGGCCCTCCATCCACCGTACTGTACCAGGTAAGACTATTGGTTCAATGATTATTGAATGTCAATGTGATGTTTGATTTGGTTAGATATCAATGAATGTTGTTTTGATGCAGGATGTGTTGAGTTTGCCCAGTTTGGTGCACACGCGTCGAGATAGAAGGCAGAGTACGGTTGGTTATGCTCGTGGGAAGCGGAAGGTTGTGCCATGATGTTTGCGAGTTCTTGGGATCCCCTGTTGCCATAAGTGTATGATGATGGGGAGGGGCCGTCTGATATATAGCATTTGAGGAGGTGCTATGTTATTGGGCTAGAAGAGAATGAAAGTGTAAATGTGTACATTGGGCCATAATGTGTAGTCGAATGTATTGTTTATAGATAAACCATATTGGGCCATAAATCTGGCGGGCCCATTGATCTGGTGGGTGTGATCATTTTGGGCCAAAATTTTGGCAGGCCCGTTGGTCTGGTGTTATTAGTTGTAGGCCTTTCAGTTAGGGGTGGCAATTCGGGTCAACGGGTTGGGTTTGGGGTCAGATTTCGGATTATGCTTAGAAACTATCAAAAATAGTGTAAAACTTAATATTATTATGAAATGTGAAATTGGGTCAAATCGGGTCGAATTCAGGTTGGTCGGGTCGGGTTCGGGTTTCTCGCAATAACTTTAGATTGGGTTATCGGGTCGGGTCAATGATTGCCAACCCTGCTTTCAGGATTGTGGGCCACTTAACAATTATCAGATCACTGGACTACGGTTTTATTTCACAAGCTTGTCGGCTGCGTTTCCAAGACAACAGAAACTGGTACACCCTGTGTTTGTAAAAGATTAAAGAATTTTGTGTCAAAAAAGTTAGGAAAAATTTCCCGGAATAATCCCACCTTTGGGGCGTTCGCTTAAAATAATCCCACATTTGGTTTTTTTTTTTAATAAATAATCGACCTTTATACTTAGTCCGCTCATAATGGTCCCGAGTGACCAGCAACCGTTTGGGGAGGTAATTTTATTTTTATTAAGTTTAATTTATACGAGTCATAGCTTGATTTGTCCAAAAAAAAAATTAATCAAAAAAGTAAATAATAAAAAAAAAATCACCACCATCCTTCGGCAAAACCACTTCAGCCACCACCATCCACACCACCACCCAAACCCAGAACCCAGATCCACCACTCCACCCAGACAAGAATCCACCGCCACCCAGAAACCCACCGCACCAATCGGAATCCCACCCAACCTAACCCCAAAACCTCCTTCGAAAATCGAAACCCCACTAACCTTGATTGAGCCATTCGAAACCCCACCAAACCAGATCCCAGGAAACGAGGTGGGGAGGTCTGTGTGTGGACGGAACCAAGGGTAGGGGAGATCGACGCCTATAGAATCTTGGACGCGGCCAAAAAAGGGACGGGGAAGGGGCTGGGATCGGGACGGGAAATGGGTTTTTGTGGGTAGGGATAGTTTTACAGCTCGTCGGGGCTTTGGGAAACACTCGCTAGGTTCTCGTGGAGGAGAAGTTTGGTGGTTCGGGGGAGGAGGTTCCAGCGCTGTCTCCGATCGACGTTTCCTCCAGCGTCGTTGCCGGTGCCGTGGTTCGGGGCTGGGTAGCAGGACCACGACTAGTTGGGTGGTTTCATAATTTTATTAATTTTATTTTATTTTTGGATTAAAAAAATTTAACATATTTTAAAATTATTTTTTTTACCAATTACAGACAGTCACGTGTCTGGTAACTTGTTATAACAAATTACATGACCGGTTAGGAAAATTCGAAGCTAATTGATAATAAGGTCGGATTATTTAAAAATAATTCAAAGATGGAATTATTTTCAGCGGACGCTCCAAAAGTGGGATTATTCCAGACAATTAATCGAAAAAGTTATAGTGTTGGTTTGGGAAACGATTAAGTACAAAACTTGATATGGTAAACGTAATTCATTTGTAGGTTTGTGTGTAGTTTCAAAGAAGCACAAGTTGTTGTTTTGGTCGTATACATGTTGTTAGGAGATTGGGGCGTGAACAAAACCACCAGTTTTAAGGTGCTCCACAAAAAGGAAAGCTCTTCAACTAATTGCTTTTAGGGGCCGCTTGTTTGGGGGTATTCAGGAAAAGGAATGAGAATCAACTACCCCGATTCCCTTTGTTGTTGTTTGTTAAGCACTTTTAATCATTCCCTTTACCCTCTCCATTACCCCAAATCCTTCCAACTTCATTCCCCACCCCCCTAGACTTTTCCATTCCCTTTCCCTACCCACCTTCACACCACCACATCACCACCTTCACACCTACCAATACCACCGGAAAACCAGCCCTAACTACCGCCACCCCTCCCCCGACCACCGCCGACCCTCCCCCGAGCCTCGCCGCCCTCCCCTGAAAAAATTCCGGCGAACCTGTTCAGTTCAACCTCTCCGTTGACAAATTGCAAGAATTCCTTCACTCCAATCCCACTGGTAACCCTCAATATCTAAATTCATCTACAAATTCATATTCAATTTATTAGTTTAATTTCCTGCCATTATTGTTTGAATTCAGAGGCATTTTTAGTTTAATTTTTCAGGAAACTAATCAATTTAATTGATTGACCGATTAACGTAGTATCACGAAAAGTTGGAAAATCAAACTTGGAATTAAAATGTATAATTGGTGAATTAATTGATTTAATCCAAGAAATTGTTAGGCTATTGAATTGGATTGATGTGTAAGTTTTTATTGTGTGAAGGAGTGAGGTGGTGTTGGGCGGCGATTTTCTGGGTCAAGGGAGATCGGGGCTAGGGGTGGTTTTTTTGGGGGAGGGAAGGGCGACGAGGCTCGGGGGAGGGTAGGCGGTGGTCGGGGGAGGGGCGGCGGTGTTCTGGGCTGGTTTTTCCGGTGGTGTTGGTAGGTGTGAAGGTGGTGATGTGGTGGTGTGAAGGTGGTTGGACGGGTGACCTTTCATTCATTCCATTCCTTTGTTATTCAAAACAAACAACACCTCAAAATTGGGGGATTTTCATTCCATTCCTTGTCTTTCCCTTTATTCATTCCATTCCGATTCCCCTGTGCGAACCAAACGACCCCTTAAGGTGCTGACAAAACTCAACCACCAACGAAAAACTATAAATTTGATATTTGTCAGAGTAAACGTTAGTTAACGTCGTAATTTGCAACCGTCATAAAATTGTCCCAAGTTAAACTACGTGGAAGAACCCACCAACTCTATACTCCAACAGGTTGCAAAGTCAGACATGACTCATAAGCCACGTGGACAATATTTTCATAAATTCATCAAATGCTCCTTCCGTTTTAAATACTTGTTTAATTTCTCCATGCACGGAGTTTTAGGAGAAATTAGAGATAATAATAAAATATGAAGGTAGTAGGGTTGGTGGAAGAATAAAAAATTATAGAAAGCAAAAGTAGTGGAGAGAATTGGAGGAGAGAAAATATATGTTGGGACCACTAGGTGAGAGAAATTGATTAAATATTGTAAAAGCTTTCCAAATAAGAAAATGGAGCAAGTATTTAAAAACGGTCGCAAATGGAAAGTGGAGCAAGTATTTAAAAACGGAGGGAGTATATACTACTTCGTATGTAAATACTTCCTCCGTTTTTTTTTTATTATTGCACCATAGGGGTTGAATATAAATATTTTAGTAGTGGAAAAAAGTAAGATAGAGAAAGATAAAAATACAAAATTACCCATGTGAAATATTAATAAACTAAAAAGTAAGTGTGGAAAAGCAAGGATATATTGGGTATTTATAGTGTGAACACAAATAATTTTTTTTTTCTAAAAAAAAAATTGCATAATATTTATGAAACTTTTAAAAAAAAACAAGTAGTACAATAATAAAAGAACGGAGGATGTCCAATATTTGATAAAAGTGTAAAACATGTAATTTGGCGCGAATTTGCGCGCCCTTTCTTCCTCTAAACCTCACTCCATTCTTCACCATATTTTCATGTCCTATTTTCCAAAAATTGCTGCTGCGATTCAATCAATTAATTCGATCTCTTCTATCAGATTACGATTGGTAAGCTTTTCTTTCGATCTGATTTTTCTAATAACATCAATTGTAACTCCATATTGTTTCATGCTTAAACCCTAATTTTTTAATTTTTTTGTTAATATTGTTTTATTACAGTATCTAATTCATGAAATTTGCTTTATTACTGCTTAATTTCACGTTGAATTATTTTGATTTGTCAATAATTTCAATTTCAAAGAGTGAAATGGTAACATCTTATCGGATTTCTGTTAAAAAATTGTTTTTCTATTGCAGAAATTTCTCGATTTTTGTGCCGTTTCAATGGCTAGTGAGATTAGAAATGTTAGTAATGGAACAAACAATGAATCAATTGATTTGAGAAGGGGATACCAAGTAGTTGTTGGGGCAACTAAGGAAATGGGTATTGGGAAAGATGGGAAATTGCCATGGAAATTGCCTTCTGACCTTAAATTTTTTAAGGATATTACTTTGCAAACTTCTAATGCTGAGAAAAAGAATGCTGTTATAATGGGGAGAAAGACATGGGAGAGTATTCCTCGTAAGAATCGGCCTTTGCCCGGTAGACTTAACGTTGTTCTTACTCATTCTCGAGATTATGATGTTGGAAGTTTGGATGATGTTGTGACTTGTGGAAGCATCAATTCTGCTTTGGAGTTGTTGGGAATGCGCCCGTATGATCTTTTGATTGAGAGGGTGTTTGTCATTGGCGGTGGTCAGATCTTGAGGTTGGCATTTACATTGTGTTTCCATGAACTTTGAGTAGGAATGTATCTTTTGCATTTAATGGTTTTTGTATGTAGGGAGGCGCTCAATGCTCCAGCTTGCGATGCGATTCATATTACAGAGATTGAGACCGATATAGAGTGTGACACATTTATGCCTGCTGTGGATGATTCTTTGTTTCAGCCTTGGTATTCGTCTTTTCCTTTGGTTGAGAACAATATACGACACTCTTTCGTTACATATGTCCGTGTGAGAAGGACTGCAGCTGATATTGGTACTCAAATCAATACTGCCAAGGCACTATCTAGTAAGTTTGAGGTACAGGACTTCTCCTTCCTGCCTCAAATGGTATTTGATAGACATCAGGAGTATTTGTACCTTAAGCTAGTTCAAGAGATCCTGTCGAGTGGGAATCTTAAGGATGATAGGACAGGGACTGGGACCCTATCAAAATTTGGTTGTCAGGTACATCAAACTGTTTGTTTATATTAAGTTCGTATTTTGTTTTTGTTTTGGTCTTTAGTTATCGATTTGATGGTTTTTGCCTGCAGATGCGGTTCAATCTGCGCAAGAGTTTCCCACTTCTTACTACCAAGGCATGTAATTTCTAATTAAGTTTCCAGCTTATTGCTTCTCTTTATGATTTATTTTGAGGATTTTAGTTATTTATGTTTTACGGAAATGGCTTGTTGATATGATCATACATGCATACTGACATACTGAGATATATAATATGGTGGATACTAGATGCTAGTTGTGGAAAAAATCTATTCGAACTCTTAAGCTATATATACTGACAAGTATCTTTATCATTTGAAATTACAGAGGGTATTTTGGCGAGGTGTTGTAGAGGAACTATTGTGGTTTATTAGTGGTTCCACAAATGCCAAGGTATTGTATACAAACTCTGAGAATAATTTTTTTTGTTGATTCAAAATTGCTGTCTTTTTAAATGAAGTTGCTGCTTCCTTGCTGTTAATCTAATACTTATCTGAGATTCACACGAGGCTGAAGATGCCTTCGAGACATAATGCTACTTTTTTGTGGAAATTACCATGAACTGCTTAGTCTGTTTTTAATGCTACGGAGTATGAGCTAATTTTCCAAGTCTGCCTTGATGCAACCTCTGAGTTTTTGATGATTGGCATGGTAGACTTTTTATTGAGGGGCAATTTTGAATTCTATTTCAGACCTAGCTTTCAGTGAATTGTTAAATGTAAGTTTCACTTCACAACATTGGACTGTTGCCATACCCTTATCAATTTAGGCATTCAGATTTCAGATGCTGAAATGGATAATAGAAAAGAAAGACACAATAAATCACCAGAGTGAATGCAGAAGAGTTTGCTCAAGCATGATGGACTATTCATCTATGAATACATATTATATCCTGGTTAAGAGGAATATATACACTTGCATATAAGATTCACTATCTTGTACGTAGTAAATAACTATCTTCCTTCCGACAAGTGTCTATACTAATAATGGTTTTAATGACCTTTGGGTTTGATAACTGAAATTCAAGGTGTAAGCATGTAACAAGTGTTTTCGTTTTTTCAGGTTTTGCAAGAGAAAGGCATACATATTTGGGATGGAAATGCATCCAGAATGTATCTTGATAGGTTAACCAAATAATTGCAGCTCAAATTTTGTCTGGTGATATGTTACTGTTTTGCATATATGCCTTGACATGCATCCATTCCTGTTGCAGCATTGGTCTACCAGACAGGGAAGAGGGAGACTTAGGACCTGTATATGGATTCCAGTGGCGGCACTTTGGTGCTAGGTTGATCCATAACGTTCGAGAGATTTTTATATGTTGCTTCACATGAAGAAGCCAGATGTTAGTTCTTATGTCTACTTGTTACTTCTACAGATATACCAGCATGCATGCTGACTACACTGGGCAAGGATTTGATCAGTTGTTAGATATTATACACAAGATTAAGAATAAGCCAGATGACAGGCGTATTATCCTCTCTGCTTGGAATCCTTCTGATCTTAAATTAATGGCATTGCCTCCATGCCACATGTTTTCTCAGGTATTTGTTGAGATTCAAGTTATTTGCTTTTATGTATTCTTTTATTTCTTTGGTGCTTACTTTCTTTGTTACAGTTCTATGTAGCAAATGGTGAGCTATCTTGTCAAATGTACCAGCGGTCAGCAGACATGGGCTTGGGGGTTCCCTTTAATATTGCGTCTTACGCTCTATTGACGTGTATGATTGCTCATGTCTGTGGTAAGCATATTTGCAGCTACTTTTATCTATCCTTTGCTCAGGCTAGTCGTTTATTTTGGATGTATATTCTTAACAAAATTTTCTTCATTGTAGATCTTATTCCTGGGGATTTCATCCATGTCATTGGAGATACTCATGTTTATCGCAACCATATTGCGCCTTTGCAAGAACAATTACAGAATCTGCCTAAACCTTTTCCTGTAAGCATTAGTGATGTAGCTAGCTTTGATTTGATATAGGATAGTATCCTTTTCTTTTTTAGGCTATTGGGTTTCTCTCTCCAAATGAAATCTAATGTTTGTATTTTAACAGGCTTTGAAGATCAACACTCAGAAGAAGAATATAGATTCTTTTGTAGCAAATGATTTCGAGCTTGTGGGTTATGATCCTCACCAGAAAATTGAAATGAAGATGGCAGTTTAAAGTTCACTCTTGACTGTGAGTCTGTTATGTTAATATAAGCCATTGATTAATTGAAATTATGTTATCATGTTGCCTTTTCAAAATCATGTATACAGTTGCCTATTTATTGATCAGGTATTCAAGTCGCTACAATATATTTTATGTATTTACTGTACTGAGTGTCTGAGTTTTTGTGTTGTTGATCCTTGATCTTACTTAATCTAATATTTTGCATTCATTTGGCAATATAGTATAGGAATAAGTTTAGAATGTTGATACACGATTAATGAATAGAAAAGGTAACCAAGGTTTAAAGCTCTAAACATCCTTTAAAGAAGTTGTAAAATTAATACACTAGATAATTATTGCAAGATGAAGTCCCATACTACCATTACATTTCCTTAGAGGGTCATAGCTTGTGTACTATCTGGAACATATAATTCCTAATTCGGTATTTGAACCCTTGATCTCTTCAAACTCCTTACTTCCTACTTCAGCTACCTCCTTCTGCTGAGTGCTTCTGAGATTCTCATTTTTCTTTTTCTCAGCAATGAAATTCATTAGCATTCTCAATGCCTCCTCTGAATTTTCACTTTTCATCAGCTGTTCACCTACTTCTGCAGGGGTGACCTTTGTTTCCTGCACCTGTTGTTCAATTTTCGTCAAAAGTAGGTGCTCTGTGATGCCAAGGTAATTTGAAGACAGTGTTCTGAGTGCAGATTGGGTGCAATAGGACATGTGGATATGCAAATCCATCCTTCCTGGTCGCAAGAGCGCTGGATCAAGTCTGTCTTTGTGGTTGGTTGTGAACACAATGATCCTCTCATCTCCACAGCTTGACCATAACCCGTCCATGAAATTAAGCAAGCCTGATAAGGTCATCTTGGTTATAGAACAGAAAAATGTCAGTTCTAGATCATTACTCATTAAAATCCCTCTTAGAATAATTTTCAATTACTTACCTCATTCCCTTGTTGAGAATATAAAACTTGAAAGTTTCTCTGGTGTGCCTTCATCTTCTTCTGTAAGTCGATAGAGCAGTCAATGTCTTCCACCACGAGTATCGATCTATTAGCTGTTGCTATCAGTAGTCTCCTTAGGTCAGAGTTTCTCCCAATATCAGTCAGCTCTAGATCATATATATCAAAATTTAGATAATTAGCCATGGCTGCGATCAGACTAGATTTTCCTGTACCCGGAGGTCCAAACAGCAAGTATCCACGTTTCCATGCCTTCCCAACTTTTCTGTAGAAATCTTTCCTCTTCAAAAACCTGTCCAAATCCTCCATTATCATCTTCTTCATCTCCATGTCCATGGCTAAAGTGCCAAAATTTGCTGGGTGATCTAGATTTACAGATTGCCAAACCGTCCCCGTGGTTATATGCATTATCTCAGAATCCAGTGTGTGCAGCTTTGGGGTCCTTTTCTGTTTTTTGACCACCTGTGCTTGTTCTAGGATGTGCTGGAAGTAGGTGGTGAAAACCATATCTTTGTGCTTCTTGTGAAAACACAAGTTGTAATATTGGATCTCATGATTCTCTTCGTTGAATCTCTTTGTTTTCACCTGTTTAGTCACTTTTTTCCAAGTGAGCTTGACTCCATTGAATATGTCAACCACTTCTTGATTTTTATCCATGGAAAATTGGATATTCGACTCTTTGATAGGCAAGGTGGCTCGGAACCTGTGGGTTAATGCAGAGAGTTTGGTGCCCAAATAAAGGTCTGCAGCATAAAAAAGCTGGTTTTTAACCATTCCATCAACTTCACTGATGATTATGGTTACCTCTGAGGAGATAGAAGCAAAGAGAGCCCTGAGTTTATTGGAAATGTAGTCTTGAAATTCAATGGGTACGTTATCTCTAGCAATGCTACGTATCAGCATAGCGGCTGCAGCGGCAGAGGTAGCTGTGGAGATTATCGTTTTAACAGTAGGCATTTGGATGTTGGTGTTGAACATTTTGAGAGGTTTTTCTGATCTTGTTTTAGAAATCAGGTATGGAGTGTTTTAAGGTGCTGCCTTTCCTAATTCCTACGGAGTATTGTGTTTACTTAAATAGAGAATGTGGATGTGCAATGGAAATTTTGAATTTTATTATGGAGTAATTGAACTTTTTGGGAGTAGTGGATTTTGGATAGTTTTAGTATTTCACTGTTAGTTCCTATAAGCTTTTTCTGCACGTATTGACCCTGCTGAGTGCTGACTATGAATTGAGCGTTCAGAATCAGAAGTAATGATTTTTTTTTGTTTTTTATTGGCTCACTGAACACTGAAGTGATGATGCTACGATGTCTTCCTCTGTTTCTTTTCTGAAGTTACGTAAAATTTAAATGTTTTGGAAGTATGTATAATGAGAATTCTTGTACTCCGTAGTACTTATCTTGAGAGTAGGCAAATATTTTGCTAAATTGGAATATATGCTTTGAGAATAGGTAAATATTTTAGTGAATGATAATAGTTGCTTTGGGATTATGTAAATCTAATATATATATATATAAAGGGGAGTTTTTCCCCGAGTTTTTAGAGAGCCACGTAGGATCTAATTTTCTCAGCGCGCCATGTAGGATTATAAATCTTAGTATTAGCCAATTAAATAAAAGATTATTAATTTCTTTTACAATTAAATAATTTAAATGCCATGTAAGCAAAATTGGCGAATGAGATTTTTAAGTTTATCTTTTGATTTTATGAATTTTATCTATATGTAACAAATTTTAGCACATAAATTAAAAAAAATATACATTTTAGAAAATTCAAACAAATCGTGCATCGCACGAGCTTCATCTAGTATTTACATAATCCCAAAGCAACTATTCTTATGTATCAAAACACTCTTCTTCGTTCATTGTAAAATCTTAACTTCGGACGGAGTACTCTGTATTACTCTTACCAACACATGAGATATTTAATATGTGCTGGCCTAAAGTGAAGCTGTTTTGTTTTTTATTTTTATTTGTTTAATCACAGTTATCTTTGGGAGTTTAACAATATTATGACTGCAATATATCCTTGTACATACCAAGCTAAGCTTGGTCTAGTGGTAAAGATTGTATCTTTCAACATTAAGATTGGAGGTTCAATCCCCATTAGAGATTCTTTGAGGGTGGAAATTCCTTACCCTTTACCCTCATTCTCAAAGTGTGACCTATATCCTTGTACATCCAGGTGTACGGTGCACGGTTGATATAAAAACTAAAAAAATAAAAAAATATAAGTGTATAATAGTTGTTCTGAGGTTGAGGAAACTCCGACTTTAATCTCTCTTAGTCACTGAGACCACAATATTTGAGTATTCACTTTGTTCTGGAGCCATACGTTCCTTGACCATTATTTTGAACCTGCGAAACAAATCGTCCATGTCTGCCTCACTAAATTCAGTTGTAAGGAGAGATTCTTAATTCAGTATTTGAACACTTTCCTTGATCTCCTCTTCCAACCCCTTATTTCCCACTTCTGCTACCTCATTCTGTTGAGTGCTTCTGAGATCCTCACTTTTCTTCTTCTCAGTAATGAAATCCATTAGCATTCTCAATGCCTCCTCTGAGTCTTCACTTTTCATCAGCTGTTCAGCTACTTCTGCAGGAGTGACCTTTATTTCCTGCACCTGTTGTTCAATTTCTGTCAAAAGTGGATGCTCTGTGATGCCAAGGTAATTTGTAGAGAGTGTTCTGAGTGCAGAGTGGGTGCAATAGGACATGTGGATATGCAAATCCATCCGCCCTGGTCGCAAGAGTGCTGGGTCCAATCTGTCTTTGTGATTAGTCGTGAACACAATGATCCTCTCATCTCCACAGCTTGACCATAACCCGTCCATAAAATTAAGCAAGCCTGATAAGGTCACCTAGTTATAGAACAGGAAAATGTCAGTTCTAGATCGTTACTCGTTAGAATTTTTGTTAGAATAATTTTCAATAACTAACTTACCTCATTCCCTTGTTGAAAATATGGATCATGAAAGTTTTTCTGGCGCTCCTTCATCGTCTTCTGTAAGTCGATAGAGCAGTCAATATCTTCCACCACGAGTATTGACCTATTAGCTGTTCCTATCAGTAGTCTCCTAAGATCAGAGTTTCTCCTAACATCAGTCAACTCTAGATCATATATATCAAAATTCAGGTAATTAGCCATGGCTGCGATCAGGCTAGACTTTCCTGTACCCGGAGGTCCAAACAGCAAGTAGCCGCGTTTCCATGCCTTCCCAACTTTCCTGTAGAAGTCTCTCCTCTTCACGAACCTGTCCAAATCCTCCATTATCATCTTCTTCATCTCCATGTCCATGGCTAAAGTACCAAAATTTGCCGGGTGATCTAGACTTACCGATTGCCAAACCGTGCCCGGGCTCCTACGCATTAAATCAGAATCCAGTGTGTGCAGCTTTGGGGTTCTTTTCTGTTTTCTGACCACCTGTGCTTGTTCTAGGATGTGCTTGAAGTAGGTGGTGAACACCATGTCTTTGTGCTTCTTATGAAAGCTCAAGTTGTAGTATTGGATCTCATAGTTGGCTCTCTTTGTTTTCACCTGTTTAGTCACTTTTTTCCAAGTGAGCTTGACTCCGTTGAACATGTCAATCACTTCTTGATTTTTATCCAAGGAAAAGTGGATGTTCATCTCTTTGATAGGCAAGGTGGCTCGGAATCTGTTGGTTAAAGGCGATAGTTTAGTGCCCAAGTAAAGGTCTGCAGCATAAAAGAGCTGGTTTCTAACCATTCCATCAACTTCACTGATGATTATGGTTACCTCTGAGGAGAAAGAAGCAAAGAGAGCCCTGATTTTATAGGAAATGTAGTATTGAAATTCATTGGGTACATAGTCTCTAGCAATGCTACGTATCAGCATAGCGGCCGCAGCGGCAGAGGTAGCAGTGGAGATGATCGTTTTAACAGTATGCATTTGGATGTTGGTGCTGATCATTTTGAGAGGTTTTTCTAATCTTGTTTTTGAGATCAGGTCAGGAGTGTTTTAAGGTGCTGCATTTGGTCTTTCTTATTGTGCTTACTTTTATAGAGATTGTGGTCGTCTCTAGTGGATATGTAATGGAAATTTCAACTCTAGTGTTTGGAGTGTTTTTGGGAGTAGTGGATTTTGGGTGGTTTCACTGGCATTTCCTATAAGCTTTTTCTGCACGTAATAAATTAAGAATTGACCTTGCTGACTTTGAATTAGAAAGTTCTGAAGTGATGATGGGGCTTTGTTATGTCCCATTGTTTTTTTTTTTTCTAAAGTTATGTTTGAGTTATTTTAACCGGTATTGAGTAAAATGTTGTGGGAGTAGGTAAAATGTTTTCTACGTAGTATTTGTTGTGGAGTGGGAGTAGGTTTGGTAAATGAGAATATATGATATGGAAATAAATACAGTAAATATTTTGGTTATGAAATAATTGTTTTGGGTTACGTAATGCTACATACTTGTATTTTGTAATTGAGAATAGTTGCATTGAAAGTAGGTATGAGGGTAATTGTGCAAAAAATATACTACGAGTAGTATTGGAAATAATAAGATAACTAAAGAAAGAAACGTACGCTAAAAATAAAAGAAACAAAGGGAGCAGCAAATTTTACTCTCTAATTTTTATGCTTACACAACTAGCAACACCCTTTTCTTGTAGATGGCATATAATGTAAGTATATAACAGTTGTTCTGAGGTTTAGGAAACTCCCACTTTAATCCCTCTTAGTCACTGATACCACAATATTTAAGTATTCACTTTGTTCTTGAACCATACGTTCCTTGACCATTATTTTGAACCTCAGAAACAAATCATCCATGGCTGTCTCACTAAATGCAGTTGTAAGGAGAGATTCTGTAACAGCTCTTATAGTCTTGGCAATGAATCTGGCTTGGGTTTCGAGGTTTTGGTTTGTGTCAACGCTCCAATCAACTGTAAAAGTTTCAAGTTTGTTAACAGAAAATGATCCTTCAGCCTCCACTAAATTTTTTATCTCTTCCACTGTAGGAGCGTAAAATGGCATGTTGAATCTGTCTAGTTTTTCCTGTTCAATCAAACCCTGCAGAACACTAGAAGAGTTATGTATGGCTTAAGTAGTGATCTAGTCACCCTTTCATCTTGTCATATATAAAATTGTGGATTATGACACGAACATTTAAGTATAACTTTAGTATCTGTATGTACTTTTTACCCGAACTTATTCATATCTATCTGTACATACATATGTGTGTAAATAATATTTTGAAGCCCTCATCAGAAGTCAGAATTTATCAAACTTTGTTGGCGTTTTGGTTATATTGGCAAACTTGGGAGTATTTTAGGATGAAAATAATAAGACCATAGTCACCTCTAGAACCATAGTTTGAATGGTAGAGCCAAGCAATTCCCAAATGGAATCAGGGTCATTTCTCTGAATGCTACCCTGCAGAGTCAAGACCATACGGCCACCAGGTACCATCTCCTTCGCTCGTGACCTCAAGAAGAGAGTGAAGTCCCTCTTAAACTGTGCATAGTATGCCTGTAATATCTCTGGAGGGCTTGTTTTTGCTATGTATATATTCCCTTTGTTCAATGCTTCTCCAGTGCTACTTTCCAATTCTCTTGGTACCTGCCATTGCAATCCCACGTCCAAGTTAAGAAATAAAGTACCAAATATATGCAGAAAATAAAGATATGAAGTATAATCCCAAGAAGAAAATGTATCCATTTTCTTTGCATATGCACTAGAACACTAGAAGTAGAAGGGCTTCTATGTCATGCTTCTCATTATTTGTGACAACTGTTTTCGGACATTCTGCAGTAGTTCTGTATATATGGTGTATACGACGTAGGTTATACCTGTGAGAGCCAATGAACACTGTAAGAAGAGTGTACAAAGTGAAGAAATTGGTCGGGAAAAATTCTTCCATAGAATGATTTAGGTGTTCCTGATACAGAACATGGTCCGAAGTCACTGCCTTTTTCTTCTTTTAGACTCTGATAAAAGCTTGGGAGCAAGTTAAATATAGCATTGAAATCATTCCCTGGGAGATCATTGAGGAATACTCCAAATTTAGGGGATTTTCGATTAAATTTCTGTCGTTCCTCATCAATTATATCAATGATTTCTGAGACTACCAACAGCGAGTTAGGCCCGGAAGAACAGCCTAAGTCAGCCATCATTAGACATTCTGGTTGTAAGGCATGGTACATATCTCTTATGCTTTCTTGTAGTACCGGCCTCGCCTTGTTTATCATGGTTCTCTGCTCCACAAATCAAGAAAAAAATAGGCCTTAAAGGGGAGTACAATACATTTATGATTTTATGGAAAGAAAAATTTACAAAATTAGAGTCATTTTCATACTCGTCTCATGATTGGGTTTCCCACGAGACGAGTATGAAAATGACTCAAAATTAAGCGAATGTTGTTTCAGAAAAGGTGCTACATGTTTCATGTATCTCAATATATTACTAATTCAATTCGTATACGTGATTATTATATCCGAAAAAATGAATGTATTTATCGATGTTCAAAGCCATTTACATTTACAAAGGTGATTAGAGATGTTCAAACCTGAAGAATGGAGTTCTTTGCATAACTACTTTGACCATCTCCTTCCTTCATGTGGAGAACATTCTCTACTTCCATGTGAGCACCTATCTATTATTTTCACTCTGGTCTTAAGTATAGTGTTAATGATAATTTTATAAGTTTTGTGTCTTATATATTCTTTATATTACTAGTTCAGGTGTACCAAATAGGCAAATACTACAAGCTTACTAAATTAGTCCTAAAACTTGAGTGATGGTACTGTAAGTGCAAAGGTTGTGCTGCGTGATTCACGTCTCTGCTAATATTATTAAAGCTTTCACAATGTTTAGTGTCCCATAAACCTAGGGTACCCTGGTAGCTTAAGGGTTAAGAAGGAAGTTCTACATTAGTTAAAATTTAATTTTATTTATTCAAACATTAGGGAGTAGACTATTGCATCTACTTTCTCAAGGTGATCTTTTATTCCTCTTGGTCAGTATAAAAAATGGTAGACATATTACTTTATTAATTTTTAGAAATTTTATAGTAAGTTTTAAAATCTAAAGTAGAAATCGAGAACAATAAAACCCCTTGTGTATAATACTACTCCCGTTAATTATTATTTGCAACAAAGGACTATTATTTGTAAGATATAAAATATTCCTTTGTTACACATAATTCAATAATTAACGGATGGAGGAAGAAATATATAAGCAGTTGAATAATTATGTGAGAGTGTATGCAACACACATGGTACTATACTACTATATACGACTGTGTTTGAAACGTGATTCATGCACCAACAAAGAGCATGATTTTCCGAGCAATCGTTAACCGTTTGCTTATAGGAGGGACCGAGAGACTAGGGGGGAATCAAGGTAGTCTCTCCTATAATACTACCTCCGTTAATTATTATGTATAACTTTGAAATATTTTATATCTCATAAATAATACCTCAAAATTGCACATAATAATCAACAGAGGTAGTAATAAAGTTGGTGACATTAGATGACCCTTTTTCTCTCTCCTCCCAACCTCATGTTCGAAATTTGGAGTTAATCAACTATTCTAGCCTCCTATCTCATGATACTCCGTGCATTTGAAATATTGTACTCGTATAATATAATTTGTTTGTAACTAGTACTCTACACTCTGTAATACTTCATACTAAGTTGTTTAGTGTTCCTTCTCCATTTCTACTTTCTTGCTTACACAGTGGAAAACTGAACAAATGCAGCCTAGATCTTTAATTGGTTAGTACAGATCTTTAAGCCTTAGATTTACGTTATGCCCCAGCCTTAATCCACTTTTATGTGGTCTCTCTTCTGCTTTGGCCCTTCCTTTTTTCTTTAATTCTTTACTCTCCTTTTTATTTTCTTCGCCCTTAAAATAAAGTGAATCTTACATTTACTAAAATTCCAAGATAAAAAGGTAAGTTAATAAACAAGCATCTAAGGTGTCACGAAGTAGTTGTGTTGTAAATTTATGTACTTTGATAGGTAGAGGTGAAAACTGATTAGATATTTAAGATTGGAAGATGTATCATCCTAATGGTGGTTGATATTTTAGGACATTTATCTTCTACCGGAGTACATAAAAATCCGGCATGATCTACAATATGTTATCTTATTCTTATAATTGGATGGAACAATAAAGTACGAATAAAGTGGTGGTTCTAAACTCGACACATTTGCTAACATGGTTACACTAAAGATGAAAATTGTTACGGGGTGCTGTCTTGCAAAAATGGCTAATTATAGGCTTCCTAATAGCTAGCCTTAAAAAGAATTGAATAAAGAAGGTTGGCAAGATTAAAGGCTTTCCTTTGAACTTAATCACATTAATTAGGTATAGTACTAGATAATGATCCATGGATGTACACCACCAACGTTCTGTTGCCTTTATGATCTTTATAATTCTGCTCCACCTAATAACTTAGCTAAAAACTTCCACATCATTCATTCAATCATATCTGAACCAACTTCCTTTTGGATTGTGCTAAACATAGGTTATGTATGTATTATGTATAAGGTACCTAAAAGTATTAGTATTAAATCTTCAATAACATTGTATCACATGTTGCATGATATTGTTATAAATTACGAGTTTATGACCTTTATATTGTACTGTGTAAAAAAATGCACCTATTCTATGTCACCTAAACCTTCGAATTCTTTAATTTAACAGTTAAACAAATTAACATCGATAACTTCAACTTGAAAATCTTCACTCTAATAATCATATTTATCAATTGGATCTATATGTGATACTTGAACAATAGGAATTTTGAAATGGACAGACTTATATGATATTCCTTCATGTGAATTGGCTTACCAAGAAGATCATCAACATATACTGGCCATCCACCGGGAGGTAAGGAGGACAGATTCTTTTGGGTATAAAATTCTCAATGTCTGGTTCTTTATTTGCATCTAGATACCGAAAATTCGAACAATTTTAGCAGCAGAGAATATATCAGTATATTGCATCATATGCAGTAGAACAAAATATATGTCATAGATTTTAGATTTTGCCCCTTAACAGACAGACGCATTTCATCTCTTTATCATATATTCTTCTTGCTTGGCTACTTGGGTATTTTTTTTTTTTTTTACTCCTTTCTTCCATCAGAACTTTTCCTTGTATTTTGAGCATCAAATTAGAAAATAATATTCATAAATAAACGTATTTATGTTACATTTCACACAAATGAAGAAAGAGACATAAAATTACATGAAGAAAGAGACATAAAATTACAAACTGTTAGAAAAAGAAATACCACAGCACATTGCTTACTCTATAAATTCGAAATCATAAATTAGCTCTACCAAGGAAAGTGCTCTGTATGGGCTACACGTAATGAAATTAATTTGATCGACTTCCCATTAAGGTATCAACAATCATGTTTAGAATGGTACTCCATCCATCCCTAAATTACATTCTTACTTCTCTCTAAAATGTGAGGAATAATTGCTAGAATTAGGAATGTAATTTAAGGACGCAGGGAGCTGAGTAATAATAATTAATAAGTTAATGTTAATGTAGCTCTAAGAGTTATGAATAAGAAGTTAAAAGTAAATATAAAAATAAAGTTGCAAGTGATATAACTAAACGTGTTACATGTTCATGGCATTAGCCTTTTATTACCTTATTCAAGATATACATATGAAACTTTCCTTTTTCATTCACTTTTACTGTGGTTTTGGTTATTATGTTCTCTTACCTTTTCACAATTGATACAGAAGAGACAAAATAAGGTAATGCTAAATTGCTAATTTAAGATTATTTTTTTTAAAAAAATACTTTTATGGATAAACTAAGCTCAAAGCTTAATAAGTTCAATCAATAATATAAATTCAGAAAAGATAAGCTTAAGGTAAACTAATTAGTTTAATTAAGGTTCCTTCAAAAAAAAAATTAGTTTAATTAAGGTGACATAAAATGAAATTCAAACGAAAACAACACTAACCTAAGCCAATAGACTAATAGAGCGGATTGACTAGTGATTAACTAATATATTACCATATTGACTTGCAAACAGATATACAGAATATATTAACGCAGCATCTGAATATATAGCCCTATCTGAGCATCTGATACTGCTAAAGAATGAGATTAGCTAGTAAAGACAAATGTTTAACTTTGTTAGTGACTTTTGCTAATCAACATACTTAACAAGGTCATCATAATTTTGGTTTATCAGACCTAAGTTGAGGCCTAGATTCGAATGATTCGGTATTCCCTTCACTCACCATTAATTGTCATTTTGTCCCAACCCTTAATATATCGAGGAATGAATGTTAAGAATTGTTTTTAACATCTGATTCTATTCCAGGGGATTAATCCGAACAATGCACGTAGGGGACATGCCTAGTACAACAAGTCTACTTACAATAGAGAGTGAGATTTGAACTTAGTACGTACCTATGTATACGTAACCTTTCCAAACAATACATGGTATAGTGGTAAAAGTTCGTATCTTCTAACCTCAAGATTTTACTTTAACCTGAGCTTAGTTGAGTTATGTGAGGTTCTAATTTAAGAGGACACTTCCTTCTTTCCGTATCAAAAAAACACTTACTAATAAAGACCTTAATTGTGAAAGAAGATGGAGTCCAGGAAATTTTCCAAGCAAAAAACTTGTATTTTATACTAAAGTTTAAAACCCTTAAGGCAAACTATAGCAAATAACAAGTACACTACCATTTTCAGAAGTAAAACTGTACAAAAACCTTCCAAAAACAACTAACACCACCCTCCCCCCCCCCCCCCCCCCCCCCCCCCCCCCCCCCCCCCCAATCAAAGTAGTACTATTGTACAAAAATCTACTCTATAAGAGCAGAGTACTCTTCTTCTCTTAAAAACCTCTGTTGTCTAGCAATAAAGTTTTCTACTGTCTTTTGAAATTCTTCATTACTCATATGATCTTCAGGGTAATGACCTTCCTTTGCAACCTTACTACATCCACAACCTCTCAAGCTCTTAATCTCCGTGTTTGATCTTCGTAATCCACAGCACTTATTCTCTACTACCTTTTCCCTTCTCACCTTCTCTGACTTACTCCTGTGGTAGATTTTGATCACCTGCTGCTGTTCTGAAGTCGAAAAAATCATTGCCATCATCGCGTTTTCCTCTGGCATTACCTGTTTTTTAACATACTTTTGAACTGTCTTCATGTTCTTACGCTCTAATGAAGAAGTTTTTGGTGACTTAAGGTTGCTGTTTAGCTGCCCTGAGTTCACAAAAAGAGTGATCACAATCGCGTTCCCTAAGATGAACACGAACTGAGGGCTAACTAGGAAGATAGATAAGCTGTTGATGAATTCATTTGATAGCTGGAATAATGCTAAGGGTAATTGAAAGGATAGCCTTGAAATCACTGCAAGAATTAGGATGATTTCGAAAACTCGAAAAAAATGTGTGATCTTTCTTAGTTTTTGGTACCTAAGTTTGATGGATTTTGCTTTCTCTACTTTGATGTGGTTTATGTTTAAGGGATTCATTTGCTAATTTAGAAAGTTGAAGAGATTTTGCTAGCAAACTGTTTTGTTGCTAGCTTAATAATCTTAACCAAAAAGAGTTTGGAATATTGAATTTTGGGATCAAAACATAGTTTGATGAATTAAGTTTTTGGATATTAAGAGGGAAAATTATTGAAGTATGAAGGAGAAATAATGAGAAAAATGGTTGAGTTGGGTGCACAAAGAGTGAACGAGCCACTATATATAAAGGCAAAGGATATAAAGTAAAGTACACTAAGAGTAATTAGTTTTAGTGATATTTTTTAGAAAAATTATTTGAGTGTGGGTTTGGTATACACAATAGAATAAGGAACATCTTTTCTCTTTTAGTCACTTTTACTAAATCTATTATCTATGATTTGATTTATTGCTTATTTATATCTTTTTTAAATTTTAATGCTACCTCCTCCAAAGTTTTATTTTTCCCCATTGTTGAAATAATAGATGATACTCCATATTAGATGAGTAATTTTTTTTTTAAAATAAATAAATAAATAAATATTTCCATATATATAGGGGGAGGCTCATGTGAGAACACCTATCTTATATGAGAAAACTTTATATGTGAGAACACGTCTATGTTCTAATATGTTAAGGTAGATGATCTGAAAATAAATTAAACCCATCATCTTCAACCTCAACATTCTCTCCCCTCTCCTCACCAACACTATCCAATCTCTAATTCCTCTATCACGACCACCGCATATTCCATAGCCTTTATGCCGTCACCTCCACCGCCATCACTCTTTCTCTTCTCCCGACATCATGGCCAACACTCTCTCTCCTCTCCACGACGACCACTATCACCACATGCTCAAGAATTTCATGTGTTTTGTATCAACGTTTGAACAATTGTAGTTAAGAATTCAAGTTGTGAAGCTTGGAAAACCAAGCTTAATTAACAATTTTATATGTGAAATAATCAAAAAAAATTTCATCCAAATCAATCAAATTGGGCAAATTCTAGAATTTGAAATTTCAAGGAATTTTAATTGAATATAAGAAACTAAACAACAATTCATATGTTTTTGTTACCTTGGAAATCAAGAATAAACTGATTTCGAATTAAAATTGTTCTAAAAATTGTTACATATGTTCTAAAATATGTTGCATATGTTCTAAAACATATTGCATATATGTTCAGATTTGTTTTTGAGTTCAAGGGCTTAAAAGTTGAGTATGTATCATGTTCCAATTAAAACTATATTTTGAAAAGCTAAGTTTATTCTTCTAAGAACTATTTCATATGTTAAAAATCATTGAGTCTAGGTTTTAAATTTCTAGGCATTTTGTTCTAAACGCTATGCTACATAAAGTTAAGTATGATGTTCTAAATTTTTACTCACATGTTCTAATTCTTAAATCAGATGTTCTAAATTATTACTCACATAAATGTTCTAAATTATTACTCATATGTTCAAAAAATTTAATTTGAGACTCATGTTCTAAATTGTTACTCGTATGTTCTAATTTTTTGCTCACATGTTCTAAACGTAAAATCTGTTCTCATATAAGTATGAATTCTCACATATGAGCCTATTATTACCGGATCCCTCCCCTATATATACATATATATATAGGGTCGGGATCCGGTGAGAACCACCCTTTATGTGAGAACCCACACCTTATGTGAGAACAAATCTCAGCCGCTAGATTAGATGAAATCCAACTGCTGAGATTATAAGCATGCCTACAAGCTAACTTTCAGCATCTAATTTATCTCTCCCCTCTATTCTGTCTGCAATTCAAAGCTCATCAATGACGATTTACTTATCAATGGCGATTCACTGAGTATGCTCTTCTTTCGGAAAATTTCAGCGGTTTCTTTCTGCAATTTTCAACGGTTTCTTTTTGCAAATTTCAACGGTCGCAATTTCATCCACCATTGAGGTTTGTTCGTAATTTTAATTTTGAATTGCATGTTAATCTGAATATTCAATATATTTTGATTTTACATCTCTGAAAAATTTGGAATTGCATGTTAATTTTCGAATTGAATTACATGTTAATTTTCAAATTACATTAATCGAATTGAATGTTTAATTGCATCAATTATTTGATTGAATTGAATCAATTATTTAGGTTTGATTAATTTGATAGAGATTTTAATAATATCAGATTAAACTTTATAGTGATTGAATCAATTATTTATGTTCTTATTTTCAATCAAATTCAAAATGAGCAAATAAATTAAAATGAGCAAACCTAAATATGTATAATAGAACAAAGGGGATATGAAATGAGCAAAGTGGATATGGAATGAGCAAAGTCATATAAAAATGAGCAAATTGAACTTTGCTGTTATTATGTTCTTATTTTCAATCAAATTCAAAATGAGCAAATAAATTAAAATGAGCAAACCTAAATATGTATAATAGAACATTTAAAATGAGGTAACTACAATTAAAATGAGCAAATATTAATGACATTCATAAGTAATTCAAGGATCTATAAGTTTTGCAAATAATTGCTTGTAAAAACACTAAGTATACAGAATTGTGTATGTATGTGTGTGTGTGTGAGAGAGAGTGTGTGTGTGTGTGTGTGAGTGAGTGTAACAGTGTGTCTGTGTGTGAGTATGAGTGTGAGTGTAAGAATGATTGAGTGTAAGAGTTTATATATGTGGGCATTGGATTGCATGTTCATTTGACAAATGAGCAAACCTATCCCCCCTGCCCCCTCCTCTTTCTGCTTGCAATTCTGATTTCAGAAACTGATTTCAGTTATAATTATAGATTATGAAATTATTGAGTGTGTGTGTGTGTGTGTGTATGTGTGTGTGTAAGTGTGTATCTATGTCTGTGTGTGTGTAAGTTTGTTTAAGAATCTGATTTCAGTTCTAATTATTAAGAGTGTATGTGTGTGTTTAAGTGTGTTTAAGGAGGTGCATATTCACAAATGATGAGCAACAACGAACAAGTTGAGAGTCAATCAAGTACCATCACAAATGTGCCAACTACTCCTACAATAGTAGTTTCTCCTAAAGTAGCACCTTTGATCACTCCTGGAGGAACAAAAGAATGGCATCCAATATGCCCCAATGAGTTGAAACCAGCTATAGGGATGAAGTTTAATAATCTTGAAGAGGGCCTTGAATTTTATAAAGGTTATGCATTTGCTTCTGGTTTCAATACAAGGAAGTCTACAACTAAAAGACAAAGAAGAAGCAAAGAATTAAAATATCAGTATATCTTGTGCAATAAGGAAGGATACAAAGAAAAAAGAAAGACTACTGTAGAAAAAGATTTAAATAACAAGGAAGGGGAAAACAATGAAGAAAAATCTTCAATCAAAAGGAAGAGACTCGTTACTCGTGTTGGGTGCAAGGCACATATTGTCCTAAAGCATTGTGATGATAACACATTCATAGTGACAAAATTTCATGAGGGACATACTCATGCACTTTATACACCTAGCTGCAATCTATTCCAAAAAGAAGGAAGGAAAATGAACATTTTACACAAAAAAATAATTGTGAATAATTCTAAGGTAACACTTTCAAATTCTCTTATGTTTCATGAATTCTATGTATGTTCTAATAAAAGTTGTTTGCTCATTTGACAAATGGGCAAATAATTTTTTTTCTCATTTGACAAATGAGCATTGAATTGTTTGCTCATTATAAAAATGAGCATTGAATTATTTGATCATGTGACAAACTGTTTTGTTCTTTAAATAGGTGAATATTGGTCCCGTTACAACTTTTCGAATGATGAAGGAAATTGTTGGAGGATATGAAAACATTGGTGCATCTAAGGAAGATTTCAAAAAATTTCATAGAGATTTAAAAGCATACATTCAAGGAAGCGATGCTCAAATGTTCGTGGATAATTTTACCAACAAAAAGCTGATGTGGAGCGCTTTTTTCTTTGATTTTGAGATGGATGAAGATTATTGCCTTTGTAGAGCATTGTGGGCAGACCCCCTTTGTAAAAAGAGTTATGCTCTATTTGGTGATATGGTATCCTTTGATACCACATACCAAACCAATAGGTAATTCATTTATGTGTTATTACTAGCTATGGCTGAAATTAATGACTTTGTTTTAAATAAAATTAGTTTAATTGCTCATTACTTCTATGTGGAAATTGAATATCCCCATAAATCTAATATTCTTTGATAAGAGTATGTATATGGGCATTGAATTGCATGTTCATTTGACAAATGAGCATTGAATTATTTGCTCATTTGACAAATGAGCATTGAATTGTTTGCTCATTTCACAAATGAGCATTGAGTTATTTGCTCATATGAGAAATGAGCATTCAATTATTTGCACATTTGACAAAAGAGCAAAGAATTGTTTACTTATTTCACAAATAAGCATTGAGTTATTTGCTCATTTGACAAATGAGCAATCGATTATTTGATAATTTTTCAAATGAGTATTAAATTATTTGCTCATTTAAACTTTATTTTGTATGTGTAAACAGGTACAACATAGTGTTTACTCCATTTACAGGCGTTGACCATCATAAGAATTGCATTAATTTTGCTGCTGGTTTCATAGCAAAGGAAGATATCGTGTCATTTGAATGGCTGTTTAGATCATTCCTCAAGGCAATGGGTGGGAATGAACCTACTTGTATGATCACAGATCAGGATCCAGCAATGAAAATTGCTATTAGAAGTGTGTTTAAGAAGACTGAACATCGGCTCTGTATGTGGCACATAATGAAAAAGTTACCAGATAAGGTGGAGAAATCAATCATGCAAGAAGAAACTGGTTTCCTAAAAAAATTATGTGCTTGTGTTTGGCACCTTGAAATTGAACCTGCTGAGTTTGAAGAAAGGTGGAACAAGGTGATGATTGAATACCACTTGGAACAACATGAATGGTTAGGTTATATGTACAAGATAAGAGACAAGTGGATTCCGGCCTATTTCAGAGATGTGTTACTTGGAGGAATAATGCGTACAACATCAAGATCCGAAAGTGAAAACAACTTTTTCTGCTCCTTTATCAATCCTCATGTGTCACTTGCTGAGTTTTACTTGAGTTATGAAGCTGCAATTGATGCCCAGAGACACACTAAAGGTCAGAATGATAATGATTCAAAGCACAAATATCCTGAGTGCAAAACACCACTAGGGATAGAAAAGCATGCCTCACATTTATATACTAACTCTGTCTTTTATGATTTTCAATACGAGGTTGAAATTGCTTGTTTTTCTTGTGGTGTTGATGAATTGAAGAAAGAAAATGAATTGGAAGTTGCAACAGTAAGTGAAGGAAATCGGACTAGAACATTTGATGTTGTGTTTAATCCAACTAACTATGACACCACATGTTCTTGCAAGCTATTTTATAGGCAAGGAATTCCATGTAGACATACGATTTGGGTTTGGAAAGCAAAAAGGTTTGAAACCATTCCCGAGCAGTATATGCTACACAGGTGGACTACTATGGCATTAAAGAAACCAATTTTTGACTTGGGAGGAAACCTGTTGGAGCAATGTGCTAATATAATAGACAAGAAAAAATTGTTAAATGATTTATAGTCAGAGATACACACTTGTGTAAGTTTGGCAGAAGGCAAAGATGAAGATATTCAAGACCTTGTGATAAATCTTCAAGGAATAAGAAAGGGTTTGGAAGCAAAGAGGATTGCAAGAAATAATGAAACAACAGCTGGAAGTGCAAAAAACAAAGAGCAAGACATTGAGCTATTTATTGGAGCTAGTGTGCCAACTGAAATAATTGTCAAACCTCTAAAAGTTTCAAAGAATAAAGGGACTGGAGTTCATGTATCAAATGAAGAGACTTCAAAAAAGAAAGCGACTGAGATTGATGTGTCAAATGTTGAAACAAGAGGTAGAAGTGCAAAAAGGCTTAAGGGAGAAAAAGAAAAGGCTGTAAAGCAAAACCAAAAAAAGAAGAGATTATGTAGAGGTTGTGGTGAATTGAGTCATCATGATATTAGAAATTGTCCAAAAAAAGTGTAATGGTATTTTTATATACATATAAGATTTTGTTGAATTTTTATATTTAATAATATATTATTAATTTTGAACTAATCATAGTTTAATGCTTTGCAATATTGTTGAATTGAAAATAGAACATATTCAAATTAGTGACTTAATATTTGTTCATTTCTCGAATGAGCAATAATTCCTTGCTCATTAATAAAATGAGCAAATAGTTAACTACTCATTTTGTCAAATGAGCAAATAATTATTTGCTCATTTGGTAAGTGAGCAAATTAGCTATTATATGAACTTGGAACAATTGCACTCTTGTTTCATCTCCCAATCCAAAATCAGCTCTCCTTGGGTCAAATGAGCAAACATATCTTTTCTCAACCATCAAATGATCAAGTAATTCCTTGCTCACTTAGCAAATAATCAAAAAAGGTAAAAGCTCATTTCTTAAATGAGCAAAAATAGTTGCTCATTTGTGAAATGAGCAAACATTTCTTTATTCATTTATCAAATGAGCAAGAAATTCTTTGAACATTTATCAAATGAGCAAGAATTCATTGATCTATCATTTAATGAGCAAACATCTGTTTGCTCATTTAACAAATGAACGAATATTTCAAATGAAAACGGCTGTATATAACAAGGTATGTGAAGTAAAAACAAAAAAAAGATTGAATTTTAATTCAAATATAATCATCACTATAGTAAAAAAGGGTAGGCTTCTATTGGTAAAATCTGTTTATAAATCAGTTTTACATCATTCAAAGACTACTTAAAAGTAGATAAAATCTTAATTTACCCAATTCCCTAAACCAAAAAAGACAAATCATCACTACTGACTATTTAATTCCCTAACATTCAGCTTTCTTCAGTCTTTTGCTCTTTCTTCCTTGAACTTTTTCTTCTTCAGGCTTTTCTTTTTCAGCATTTTCTTCTTTGTCAGCAACAGAAACTTTACTTTGCTTTTTCTTCTTCTGAGCAATTTCTTTAACAGATTGGATAGTGTTCACTTCACTTGTAATTATTCCCAGGGTGTACTTTTCACGAAGTTTAGTCAAGATTATCAGCTGCAAAACAAATAACATAATCAAACCCTATACAATTAAGGAGATTTCAATAACATGAGCAAACATGTAAAAGTAACACCACAAGTTGCAGTTGTAACTTGTAAGGCAATGGCCTACGGTATTGCTAGATTAATGGACCATAGACCTCAAAATTAAAGTAAACATTTGATAGGAATCCTTGCTCATTTGTCAAATGAGCAAACATTTCTTTGCTCATTTGATAAATGAGCAAGTAATTTCTTGCTCATTTAGCAAATAATCAAAAAGGTAATTGCTCATTTCTTAAATGAGCAAAGAATTAGTTGCTCATTTGTGAAATGATCAAACATTTCTTTGTTCATTTATGAACTGAACAAGTAAATCCTTGCTCATTTGTCAAATGAGCAAACATTTCTTTGCTCATTTGATAAATGAGCAAGTAATTTCTTGCTCATTTAGCAAATAATCAAAAAGTTAATTGCTCATTTCTCAAATGAGCAAAGAATTTACATTATTTTTCTTCAAACCAGGATCCCACTTTGCACAACCCATGTATGTTTCCATGAGTCTCATCACTGCAACTCCACAATGCAAATGATTTTTATCCGAAGACTTCCATGAACCATTAATCACAGAAATTTCCATCCGCTTGATATCATTTGCCAAAATAGAACTCTGCACATTTCCTTCACATTGAATAAAGTTTGAAAAAGCAGTTCTCTGAAAACAAAAACATCAAATGAGCAAACATAATAAAATCTAATCATTCAAGTAAAAGAAACAAACATAATGTGAATAGAGATTAACTATTAAGCCATACCAAATGTTTTAAAAGTTGTTTATGATCTCCAACATCTTTGTTATAATCAAAAAGCTCGATATTACCATTCAGTGTGGTAGTGTTAAAACATACCAAATAGTAATGATCTTCTTCATAAACTGGGAAGAAAAAAAGTTGAATATCCTTGTGTGGTACAACTGATTTCATGTACAAATTCTTAGCAACCTCAAAAAACATCTTATTCCGATGGGCAACAGAATCTATCTCATAGTGAATAAGACAGTCCTACATGTTAAAGAAAAAAAATTAATTACAACAAAAAAAACAAAATAATTCAATAAAACAAAATAAATGAAAGAATTTGAACTTACGGTAGCACTAAGGTCAAAAAAGAAACGAGCAGGAGAATTTGGATCTCTAAACTGCTCATTATAATTCAGAATGCTACACCAAGCATTAATGATCTCTGTATCAACTTTATATTTATTATAAAGATTATCAAGATGTACTCTCAAAATTTCAAGACCATTCTCTCCATTAAATACTGGTTCACTGCATAAAAAGAATAAAGAAAGTTAGTATGTCTAAAACAAATGGAAGTTAATGTACAAGATAATAAATTCTATAGATAAAAAAAATACTTACAAACGATTTTTATCATCAGCAAACATTGCCTTCAAGACGCTCATCTGAACTGGTGATAATGGATTGTAAATTATCATAATACGGGACTTAAAAGGTGATCTAAGAAGCACTGATGGCTGGGGTTTGCGTTTCTTTGGAATAGAACTCTTCTTTTCAGTATCACCTTTTCTCTTATGCACAATTAAAGCTTCTTGAGCATCAGAAATGAGATCTTGAGGATTAGCAATCAGAGCATCACCAACAACTTGAGAAGCATCAGCAACAGAAGCACCAACTTGTGCACTGACAGAAGCAACTACAGGTTCAGTAGGAGCATTGCTAGGGGGAGAATTAGTTTCTTGAGAAAAGACTCCTAAACTGAATGTAGGAGTTCCAGATCCTTTGGCAAGTGAATGTCCTGAAGCAGATTTGAAACTTGAATCTCCAATTTTTTTGAACACATTTTTAGCAGCCCTATCTGAACATCCAACATCAGGGATACAACTTGCTATCTGAACACTTTCAGAAGCAATCTTAGTAACATCAATGGGTTCCGATTCATTTGGATGAACAACCATTGCATTGAATGAAGATTCATCATGCTTTGTGTTGCTTGAAATTTGAGAAAACCTATCCCAAGCTTCAATTACTGCTGGATCTTGCCAATACTCTTCATCTTAGC